ATTAGGATTGTGGATGATTTATATTCATGAACTGATTGCAAAATCAGATAATACTATTTGGTTTTCTGATTGTTCGTCTTGTTGTGTTGTTTAGGTTGATGGATGTGAAGCAAGGACTGAGCAAAGATGGAAAAACTGTACTCTACCTGGTGTTTGAGTACTTGGACACTGACGTCAAGAAATACATCAGAACTTTCCGTCACACCGGAGACAACATTCCACCTCATATTGTCAAGGTTTGAAGATTGATAACAACTTTAGCTTCTTTCATTTCATTAGACTAAATACAACGTTTTCTGAAATTATGGTTAGAGTTTGATGTATCAACTATGCAAAGGAATGGCGTTCTGCCATGGTCACGGTGTGTTGCACAGGTAAATGATAATGTTATCTTGGTTATACTCTGTTTCCAAGTGAGAATGGTTTTAAGAGATTTTACTAACTCTCGTCCTGGTTTGATTTTACAGAGATCTTAAGCCTCACAATCTCTTGTTGGATCCCAAGACTATGAGGCTCAAGATAGCGGATCTTGGTTTAGCTCGAGCCTTCACTCTCCCCATGAAGAAGTATACTCATGAGGTAACAATCTATGTTGATCTTGTATAGTCACAGATACATCTTATTCCAATAGTCTGATCTCAGTGTATTGTATCTGTTTATTAATTGGTTCTTGCTGTTGCAATAGATATTGACTCTTTGGTATAGAGCTCCAGAAGTTCTTCTTGGTGCCACTCATTACTCTACAGCTGTTGATATGTGGTCTGTTGGCTGCGTCTTTGGTAAATATCCTCCCTGGATTTACATCAGTATCAATCTTTACTTATTATTAAACACCCCAGAAACTAACCTTGTCTCTTTGACATTAACAGCTGAGCTTGTGACCAACCAAGCAATCTTTGCTGGAGACTCTGAGCTCCAACAGCTCCTCCATATCTTCAGGTAACTCTTTGTTTCCACAATCTTACTTTGAAAAACATTAAACACACACCCTTTAAAATTGCGTTGCTTTCTTTCCTCACTCAGGTTGCTCGGGACACCCAATGAAGAAATGTGGCCAGGTGTGAGCACACTCAAGAACTGGCACGAGTACCCACAGTGGAAGCCCTTGAGTCTCTCCACATCTGTTCCAAAACTCGACCAGGCTGGACTTGATCTTCTCTCTGTAAGTTCCAAAGTTCTTTTAACTAGTAACCAAAACATACTCAACACCCACAAACTAATTGTTTTATTATTATCATCTTCCTGGAACAGAAAATGCTGCAGTACGAGCCAGCGAAACGAATCTCAGCTAAGATGGCTATGGAGCATCCTTACTTTGATGATCTGCAGGACAAGTCCTCTCTCTGAGGAGTTAGTGCTTCTTTCAAGCATATCTCTAGTGTGCTTCTCACTCTAAGAACCTCTCCCCCTTTATAGCTTTATTATCACCCCTGAATGTGTTGTTCATTTCTGTTCCCAAGTTTGTATCAAAAGGCTTTTTACGCTTTCAACGTTTTTAAGAAAACTTATCTATCCTATAATGATACATGATCCAATCATCTAGATGTTCAAAACAGTATACAATAATACATAACAAGATCTAGTGTGGTGGTGGCTTAGGCCACAAGCCACATAAAGAACGTTGGCCAAGCAGTGAGTGAAAAAGAAGCGAAAGCGTAAGTCCATAACATAATCACTGAGCATTCACTTTCACCTGCTCCGAATAACTGAGTTATTGTACCTGACAGAGTTGATTCAAAAAACTTAACGTTCATTCTTTTAAGTTAAAAACAGAGTTAGTTTGCAGCAACGAACCTAGATTCATAGCTGGTGGGACAGCATACTGAATAAGCAGAACGAACTGGTACAAGGGCTCTGAGGTAATCAAATCCAACTTGTATGCTCCTCTTACAATTAACACACCGCTTATAGGCAGTAGAATGTAACGTGCAATCAAGACGCCGATGATGGTTGATTTTTTCATTCCTGAACTCCTCATACCTTTAAGTAGGTTTCCTCCAATGATCAAGGTCATAGCAGGAATAGCTCCATCTCTTACAGCCAAAACAAAACAAGTAGCTCCATTAAGCTTTTGATTATTACCTGCTTTAAATGGTTTAAATTCTACTAGAATTACCCCACTAGAGTTACTGAGTCTTGAAGTACTCCAAGAGGAGCTCCATTGCCGATTATTAGCTTCCTTAAAGGAGTAATGAGACCGATCACAAGCGCAATCATCTTAACACATAAACAAGAAAAGGGTAAAGAAATATTACAGAAGTCTGAATGTTAAATAGAGAGGTAATGAAAGATTACAAACCGCAGCAATAGTTGATGGAGCAAATATTGTACTTAAGTTGACTTTCTCTAACAGTGAAACTACTCTTCTCTTGACTTTGTCCCACCTCCCAACCTGTCACACATTCACACACATACACAGTCATTACCAAAAGGATTAAATCTGATGAATGAAATAGTTATTGATCATGGCTATGAGTTGAGACCTTTTGGCTATCTTCTTCTTGAGAAGAAATCAGTGAGACTTTGCAGGTCTCGTAGTTGGACTCAATAGAAGGTTGTGTTTCAATGGGAGAGTTTAGTACCCGCATAAGATTGTATACGTAAGTCCATATGTATATTGATCCCATCTGATAACATTACAAATATCATTATATAACACTAATAAAACCATGAAAGTAGTGGAAGATGACAACTTACAGCCATGGAGAGTGCAACATAACCCATTCCATATTTCTGGCAATTCTCAGGATCACCAAAAGGACCTCCTCTTTCTTTACAAATAGCTGGTACTATGATTAATGGCATGTTTCCCAAGTTCCCTGTTTTTAAGTTTCATCATTAACCAAAAGCAAAGACTCTTAATTACTCAGAGAGACACAACAATGTTTAAGTTTTGTTACCAGCAGCACAACAACCAACAATGAGGCCACGAAGATGTGAAGGAGGTTTAGTGATGACAATAACAATCCAGCCTAATAACGAACCAATGATGAAGGTAAGCAGAACATTAACCGGCATGAACCACCTGACCACAAAAATCTCATTAATATAAACCAACCAAAGAGCAAAAGATATAAACTTAAAACTTACATTTTCACCAAGCTTTCATATGTAACACTATCAGCTAAACGGCTTCCAATCAGCGAAGGACTAAACACATAGAACACAATCTATATACAGCAAAAGAAGAAGGATTATATTAAGCAGAAGTTTACGGAAGAGTGTTTAATTATAACTTATAAGTAATAACTAACGTTGTTCAAATATTTGCGAGCATCTTGACCAAGGAGATTGACTCCATCAAGAGCCATATAGAATCCAACTGTTGTTATCAGTAGAATCTCCACAACTGGTTTTGATGAAGTTATGAACAGATGCAAAAGCTTCATCATCTCTGCTTCCAACTTTTATTTCTCCAAAGGTGTGATAACGGAGATGCTCTTAATTACACTAGCATGGTCGCCTCTTCTACTCTATTTATATTCCTTATCTATAAGAAAAAGCAAAAATATAAATTATTTTCCTAAATGACTAAGAAAGTAATTATTCCCTTTCGAGTAAAGGAATGTTAGTCCATGCTTGTGGGATGATAATTTCACATTTTATTCTGTGGAAGTAAAATATTAGTAAAAAAAACAAAAAAAAGTAGAATACTAGTATAATTTAATATTTGTATATATTGTACAACTTGGTGTAAGCATCAGTCGGGTCAGACTTGCACATCATCTTTTTATTGTTTTGTTCCGTATGAAACATTTCAAGTTGTATATATCATAGATACGTAGCTCTGAAGGCTGTATAGCTCTTTGTTTGAATTCCAACGTGTGATAAGATTGAGTGGGATAACTCGTGAGTTTCTGAACTATTACTTTAACCAGAACTCCAAAAGTGTTTCAAATCAGAAGAACTTATCCATATATATTTGCTAGCTAAAATAGATTCCAAGAGCATCAGTATTGCAAAGATGATTAACTTTTTTTTTATTTTATGAAATTGTGAAAAAAAAAATTCCACAAGATAAACGAACGTGTGGAGTAGGAAAAAAAGATATACAAACACACAAATAATAATATTTCCACGTATTCTGGAAAACTCATCTTTGTTTTGTTTTCCTATATTGTTTTTTTGGGTAAAGCCGTTTCCTTGATTGTCGTATATATGCATGGATACAAAATATATTACAGGCTTTGTCCGATAACAGTTATATCGGACCTTCGTCATGCCTTTCGTCACAGGTACTACGAAGTGCCACATGTTAAACTAGTGGTTCTAGTCAAATACGTGTAAAAATTGCATATACTAAACGAGAGTTACAACTTACAAAAGAGCTTTCTTGTAATTAGTGTATCCCACTTTTACGACAACTTAATTGCTTGATCTTGAGTTGGGTACAGTGTTGTAGACTATACATTGTTAGGCTTGCGAAGATATTTTTTGTTTGTTTTGAAAAGCTTAAGCATATTTGTTGTTATGTTGTTGCGTAGCTTTGATGCAAAACTGCATGTGATGAACGTGAACAAAAGATGTGGCACACCGGTATACAAGGGCCTCTCCATGTAGGGTTCTTCAGTGAAACCTGTTCACGTGACATACTTTGAAAGTTTGTTGATTTTGTATTATTGGAGACAGGGGAATCAAAGACTATTAAAGAAAGTGGTCCCAAAGTTGGATAGATTTTGGACAGAAAAGCATTTCTTCTATACCCATTCTCGATGCTTTCGATTCCCATAATAGTTGGGATGATAAGATGTGAATGGTATTAACGGTCAAGAAGCAGCAAGGAACATGTTCATAATAAGTTTTGGTGTGTATGTTATCCCCATGAATGAACTCGATGACTAGCCCATACTTATAATTAGTGGGCTTTGTTATTTATGTGGGCCAGAAATGTCAAACTTATTTCTTAAGGCCAGTTTATAAGGCCCACTAAAGCGTTGTGAAAATAAAGAAAAAGAACATTAATAAGCCCCAAAAGGAAAAAAAAGACAAGGATTCTTGTGAATGATCAAAGTTTTTCAGTTAAATCATATATACTTAACCCCATCCTTATTGTTTTGATCAATTAGCTCCCTCTTCTTCTTCTCCGCCGGCGTCCGTTAATTTCTGCCTGGTAACCGTTTCTGGCTCTCTCTGCACTCCCTTGCAGCTCAGCTTTCTTAGCTTTTTTTTTTTTTTTTTTTTTTCTCGCTCGAATCAGATTTGTGTGCGTTCCAATTCTCAGTCCGCAATTGAATGATCACAAATCACTGATGAATGATCTAATCGTGATTGATTGATTTGTGTTTGTTGTGAAAAAGTATATACAGGAGGAGAGGAGGACTCTTATATAATGGTGGACACTGAAATGCAAGAGCAACATGTTCCTTCTCTTGCTGCTGATGATACCAAAAGTGTAGAGGAAGAGCCTAAAGAAGAAGCAGTCAAGGAACCAAACTCCCCTGTTCCTCTTGAGGATAAGACTCTTACTTTGGACACTGATCTTCATTTACCTGATGCTAATGAGGAAGTAGGTGTTGAGGAAAGTAATGTTGATCAGTCAGAAAAGAAGATTAGGGGTGATGACGGTCAAGAGGAGAAGACAGCGGAGGAATCATCAACTCCTATGAAGGGGGAACCATCGGCTCCTCAAGTTGCTGTTGAAAATGTTAAGAAGTGGAAGACTTGGTTGCTTAATGACTCTGAGGTAGTGATTAGCATGTTTTCTGTCACATTTTGAGATATGTAGCTTACTTGCATTTGCGTTGATTGGATATTGAAGGGTCTTATTATTTGTTGCTGCTCTGTAACAGTACATGTTCACTTTAATTTTTGCAGGCCAATGAAGTTGATGAAGCAGGGACACCAGAGGATCAACAGGCGTTTATTAAAGAAGTTGAGGCTTATAACAAGGAGAATTTCTTGGATTTTAAAGCTCCTAAGTTTTATGGACAGCCCTTGAATTGTCTCAAGTGAGTAGTTGCGGGATGTTGTTGCTTTAGTTCTTTTGTTCTATCCGTGTTTGACTTCTGCATGCTTCACTTTACTCTGCAATGTAGGCTATGGCGAGCCGTCATCAAGTTAGGTGGCTATGACGTGGTAATTCTCCACTTCCCTTCTTTACTAAGATCTTACCGTTTCTCTCCCCAGTTTAGTAGTTAAAAGTCTTCTAGGTTATTTGTACTAGTCATTTGCATTTTTTCTCGTTTATGTTTTGGGTAGTGGGTAACGCATGCATGCAATTATAAGTAATTAGAAATTTAGCTATGATTTGTTAATAATAGAGAAGATTATCTTATCTAACACCAAGGGATTAGTTAGTTATATGTTAATTATGCTAGGTCTGTGTTTGGCATCTGATTTAGTTTACTTCACTCTGTTTTGTTTGGAAGTGTTACTAAAATCTAATTCTCGTTGGTTGAAAGTCTATGCATGTGGTACACAAATGCCTATGCTTTTCATTTTCTTATTATATAGGTCACCACATCTAAGCTATGGCGGCAAGTTGGAGAGTCCTTTAATCCTCCCAAGTATGGCTCCTTCTTTTTCTTTCCAAACTCTGCAATTTATCCTTCTTTGTTTGATCTTGACCTCCACGTTATTTTCTTCAATTGTCTTATTCAGGACATGCACTACAGTCTCCTGGACATTCCGCATTTTCTATGAGAAGGTAATTTTCTTCTTTTTTTTTGTTCTGAAGGAAGCTGCATCAAGATTAGCATGTTCGTACTCGTTCAGTTTAGACAATTCTTTCTGCTTCTTTTTCTGGAATGGTGTCTGAGAGGTAGGTAGTTTGTTTTTACGTGTAGCCGTCTCATAGTTTGTCAGGCTATCTCTTTGAAACATTGATTGTTCTGGTTGATTTCTATGTTATCAAATCATATGAATACATATACTTCATGATTTATACCTTTATTTTACAAGTGCAGTCACTCTTGGAGTATGAAAAGCATTTAAGGCTAAATGGTGAGCTTAACCTTCCTGGTTTACCTGTTCTTCCACCTGCCGGCCTTGAAAAGGAGGTTAGAATTTCTTTTGGATATGTGTAATTTTTATACATTGATTTAAGGCGATGCTGTTAAAATAGATGAAGTAAAATCTGTTATCTCTAATATTCGTAACATCAGCTAAACATGTTAAATACTACTCTCTGCAATGTACAATCTTATTAAATTGAGTTGTACCTTATTTTATGAAAAAAATGGGGAAATAATATCTACATGACCTCTGCCCTGTTTCCCTCGTTGATGTATTGTAAGCCATTTATGTAGGCAATTAGCCACCAAGGTTCTGGGTCAGGCAGAGCACGAAGAGATGCTGCAGCTCGCGCTATGCAAGGTTGGCATTCTCAGCGCCTTCTTGAATCTGGGGATGCTACTGAGCCTATTGTTAAGGTATCTATTTAGAACCTACCACGCTTTATGATCTACTATGCATAAAATTGGGGTGTACCTTGATGCTTTTTGTACTCCTATTTAGGATAAAGGCTTGAGTTCTACCCCAAAGCAAAAGAACGTCAGAAACATTGGTGATATTCTTGAAGCAGCTGCGACAATTCTCTATGATTTTACATGTTACCTAATGTATCCGTGTCTAAGTTGATTTTGATTTTTTTTTTTGTCCAGGGGTGCAGAAACAAAAAACACCAGCTGGCATGGACCTTGGTTTATCACATGAAACAGACAAACAGTTAAGAAAGCTAACCATCTCTTATAGATTTGTGTCTCTTATGAAAGATCGTTTTACTATGTGCACACACAGTCTTTTATCCACTGAGAAAGATTATTTTAGTGTCTAAGGTAGTGTTTCTCTGGGTGGTACTTATAAGAATCACCACTTCGAGAAATAGTGCATGAGATTAAATGAACATAGAGCATTCTGTGACCTGAAAATGTTCCTCATTTTATTTCTTCCGTCTGATTTTTTTTTGTCGGCAATTTCTTCCGTCTGATTAATAATATGATTTTGGTTTAATAGGTCAATCGCCGAGGTTATTGATGTTGGACCCCCTGCAGATTGGGTGAAGATAACTGTCAGAGAAACTGTGAGTTACTCAGCCTCTTCTCCTTCCATATGTAATGCCAGAAACGAGACAGCCTTGTTTTGTTTTGTTTTGTTTTGTTTTGAATCTGAATCCTTTTTGTCTTCTTTTCTTACAGAAAGACTGCTTTGAGATATTTGCACTGGTACCTGGACTTCTTCGTGAAGAGGTAAGCTTATTTTTTTTTCTCCTGGAACTCAAATCTCCTAAACCGTCTTGGTATATATTCAAAGAGAGATATATTACTAGTACAAAGAATCTTTACCCTGGTTGCTAGTAAATCTTTTTTTATACGAAATGTAACTATTCAACATAAGTTGATTTCATGTTACAGGTCCGCGTTCAATCAGACCCTGCAGGGCGGCTGGTAATAGCAGGCCAACCTGAACAACTTGACAATCCATGGGGAATCACACCTTTCAAAAAGGTTTTGATTCTGACTCTCCACTTAACCATGTTCCCTTAAACTAAAGGATATATATATAGTTGGTGTTTTGACTTTGAGTTTGTTTTTTTTGGTAGGTTGTGAACTTTCCAGCAAGAATCGATCCGCTGCACACATCAGCGGTTGTGAGCCTGCACGGTCGACTGTTTGTGCGTGTCCCATTTGAGCAATAGTGACGGATTCTCATCTCAAAGTGATATGGTCGTTCGTTTTTTATATGTTTCTTTGGTGATTTCGACGACCTTTATTTTTCTTAGGGGATTCGTTTGTACCAGAAGGAACTAAAAATGTTAGCAAATGTGATAATGTTACTGTTAAATTGAGTTCAGAAGATTGAAGTAGAGATGCCAATAAAACATTTGATATCTTCAATTAAAGTTAGTAGGAAAGCTGCTCCTAAATGATGTAACCAATTACAACTGTGATGAGCTTAATATGCCTAAAACCAGGCATCCCTTGCGTCGACTAAAAGTTACAAGTTTCCAAAAATACTCTTGCAGTCTGCACTATGTAATATATGATACATATATCTTTGCATAATAAGTTAAATAAAAAAAATTAGTATCATGTATAAATTATGGTAGTTCACTAGCAGAATGATATTGCATTTTATAATTATCATATTCTTTTTATATATATCTAAGAATTCCGAAATCGAAATCAATATTAATCTCCAGAATTTGGTAAATAATTAAGAGTTTCTAGTAACCAACCATAATAAACACTGAAAATTAGAATAAACTTAAAACCATGATCCCGAGCGCATGCAGTTCACATACTATATCATATTTTAATTATTTGCGCTTTGTAACAATTTCTATTTCTAGATTTATCATTTTAATCAGAGGCATATATTACATTTATGTTTACTTAATATCAGCGTACATAATGAGCAAAATTTGTATAATTTTTTTCAATAAACAAATCTAAAATAGCATCTACTTTGTTCTCAGTCATGTGTTGCTCAGTTGCATGTAAGGCACATGACACAACCACATGGAAATCTTCAAAAGATAAAGTCTTATGGCATGTATCTAAAGGTCACCAAAGTACAATACCCTTTAATACTCTGTACATGGTTCAAGCCCTAAGAGGCCAGATATTTCAAATTCTTTATCTAACATTTAAAATACAAAAATGATAGTATCCAACTCATTGTGGTCTTATAACAAAGTTAACGTTATACCAGTAGGTTACTTGAAGTGGCCATGATATATAGTTTGGTAGTTAGTATGGTCAATGTGCATATGCATAATATATTGACAAAATAATATAAAAGAATACACTTGAATTACTCAATTTCTCACACACTAAAAAAACTTCCCCAGCTCACTGGAGATAATTCACCACAAATCTGTTCTGGACATATGCATTTGGTCATGTAGAAGTATACATATAGATATTATGTGTATACAGATTGTCACTACATACTCCCTAGGGACTTGATGCATTCCTCATTTTCACACACCTTGGTACTCAAAAACCCACTTGGCTATGTTGTGGAAGAGTTTCTTAGTCATCTAAATGAAAACCGACAAAATTCAAAGCCAAACTTTTTTCCTGTTTTGTTTTGGCAGGTCATGTAATGTTCTCGTGCTTCCACCATTAATCTAGTCGTTGTGACAATCGGAAGACCTTCTTCAATGGTATGTTTATATCGTTGTAACGGATACATATTTTTTTGTTGTGATATGTTTTTTATTGTCGTAACCGCTATCTTTATCTTTTTCAAATTTTCAAAGCGTTACTTTTATTTCTGTTAATGTTTAGAAGCGTTATTTTCTAGGTTGCATGGAAACTCCGTTCAAGGTCCGTTTCCTGTTTCAGAAACGTTTCGGAATTAGAATCTCTTGGAAACTCGAGGAAATTCTTTGGAAACACGTTTCTTGAAAATTTTATTTTGGAAACACGATGGAAACTTGTGTTTCTGATTTGGAAACTCACGATTCTAATTTGGAAACTCGTGAATCTAATTAGAAACGTATAAAATAAATATTTGGCATTTGATGTTAGTGATTACATGTTTATTATTTTATATTCTAATATTATATTTTGATATTTGTTATCATTTTAGTATAACGATTTAATTTGGAATGAATTTACTCCATAGTTTTATCGAATGATAACATGTGTTACTTTTCTAGTTATTGATTATAATTTTAATAAAAGGGTAATTTTCTAAAATAGCCCTCTTTTAAGTTTTTATCACAAAAATAGACCTCAAAAATTAAAATGACCAAAATAGCAATTTTTATTTTGAAAATTTTAAATTTTCTTAATTTTTTTAAATTCGAAATCATATCCCCAAAACCCCACTCCTCAACTCTAAACAAAAAATCTATAATTAGTTAACCCAAGGGTATAAATATATATTTAATAAAACATTTAAGTGTTATTTTGGTCATTTTAATTGTTAAGATCTATATTTGTGATAAAAACTTTTTAGGTCTATTCTAGTCATTTTCTCTTAATAAATGTACAAAAAATATTTATATTACTTAATATTTTTTCTTAGGTAAATCAAACAGAAAAATAAATTTACATGTTGATTAATCATACATATATATACACATATATATATTATAGGGGTTTCCAAAACGTTTCCATTTCTAATTTTTTTAAAAATCATGTTTCCACGTTTCGAAACGTTTCGTTTCCGCGTATCCGTTTCCGATTCCATGCAACCTAGGTTATTTTCATGATTGATTGAAAAAACGAAGAACGATATATACATTGATCTTGTCGAAAAACACAAAACAAAAGTCAGTTGATTGAAAACAGAGTTTACTAGTATGTGTGTTTAAAGTTTGAACAGGAAATAAGAAAATTCTTAAATTTCACCCATATTTAATAAATTATTTTCTTTGATTTTGTTAATTATAAAAGTAAAACTGAAAAATATTTAATATGTGTGAAAATATAAAACAACTCTTATATTAAAACAAAATTTAAAAGCTAAAACAACATTTACTATGAAACATAGACAATAGATATCATCAAAGTAAGTTCTTCAATACATTAATTTGATTTAAAGTTTTACAATATGCTCAAAATGGTAGAAGACTCTTTAATTATATGAAATTCAAAAACACAAAAGTATATTCATAATTAGTATTCCCAAAATATAAAATCTTGAGGAGTTCAAATATGGGTAACTAAATGAATGAAAAAAATAAATTTGTTAGTTGATGATATACATAGTAACATAAATTAAGTGATTATCTTACATGGTTATCCCATAAAAGAGGGTTGAGCATACACATTCTGGTATCGCTTGAGGAAGGTGATTTCGGGCTTGATCTTAGGAGGTTCACAACCGTGTTGTCAATTTGATACCTCATTTGCAAGTAATCGAGCTTTCATACGGGGTTAAACATTTAGGTTATGAAATTTTTTCTGCACATTGGTCAGAACTCGATGATGTTTATATCAGACTTTCAACAATTGATTAACATAATGAAGAAAAATGGCCATTGCTAATAGTTGAGTTTGATAAATTTATTTATATTTTCAGTTACTTATTCTTTCATAGAGTATTTCTTTTGTTTCGTTCAATTGATTTTGAAGCTTGGTCCAAGGTACATTATTATCATGTAAACTTTCATATTCCAAGTTGGTTCGTTCCATAACCAATTTATTAAATCTATTTGATAATTTTAGAGTTTTTTAAATTAAAAATTAAATGAACTTGAATCACAAGCCCCAAATATACAGTCTTGAGGATTTCATATATATGAACAATAAAAAGGTGTTTGATTTGCAAGTTGATATGCATAATAATATTACACTAAAAGTGATTATCTTCCAATAGCTATCCCTAAAATGGGATTGCGCCTACTAATTAATATGAGCCAAATATATGTGTGACTAAACTCAATAAACTTAGTTATCAATAAGAAGGTAAATAATATAAACATAATTTGCTTAAAATATCATTTCTTTGTGAAGTCAAGCATCTGCCAAATAATATTCAGGGTTCAGCACAGAACCCTAGTTATTATATATAAAAGAATAACAAATTAATGTAGATGGTGAGATATATTTAAATACGAATCCAAATGTTCATGATAAACTAAATTCAAAAACCAAAAGAACACATAAATAATTAAGAACAACATGTCATCATGAAATGATTTTCTTATTTTCAAATTCAAAAGTTATAGCTATTTCATGGACATAATTTTCAAAATCTAAAAAGATGGTCTTGAAGCAGCTCCACCTCCCCAACCAAGCAAATGAGGATCACCTGAAAACTGATCATAACCACTCATATTATTACCTCTTAACTCTCCCTGACCAGCTCCAGACGGCGGTGATGCTGACGTGGCTGGCGGCTGACCTCCTCCTCCTCCTCCACCTTCTCCTCCTCCTTCATCTTCCAGCGGAAGCCTCTCAAAAGTTGCGTTAGAGAACGATGCAGCCATTAGTATCACTGGACCTGAAGCCACAAGAGGAGCCACCACGCTTCCTCCAATCACCTGACCTTGTGAACCAGCAACAAAGATTGACAAACCACCGGCTCCCGGCGGCGCAGGCGGTGGAAGCACCGTTCCAGTGATGGAAAGAATATCAAACCTTCCATGTAAAGTCACAACCCCTCCAGCTCCAGCTCCAGCTCCAACTCCACCATTACTCCCATGAGCCGTCACCGGCTGCCGGAGAACGACGTTAGTCACCGACCCGTTACCACTGAGAACGGAGACACCTCTCCCTCTCCGGCGAGCGTAAGTGTTGACGCTCTCAACTATGTCGGCTCCAGAAGAGATTTCAAGAACATGAGATCTAAGCACGTTAGGGCTATCTCTTGTCACAATCACCGGTGGCTTCGGCTTGTTTTTAGATCCCGGAGGACGTCCACGTGAACGCTTCCCCTGAGAGGAGCTCGAGGTAACCGGGTCGGAATCAGGTGGACCCGGATCCTTGTTGGAGTCAGATTCATCATCTGATTGAGGCTGAGGTTGAAGTTGAAGTTGAGGCTGTGGTTGAAGCTGGTGGTGAAGCTCAGGCCTAAAGAGGTTGTGAAAGTATCGAGAAGCTCCACCGGATTGATCAAAACCACCGTCCATGACCGTCGCATCTACTAGTTCTTGTTCTTGTTGCTTATATATAAATGATATTGTGAGGGTGAAGATAAACTTTGGTCAAGTTTCTGTGAGTGTGGAGCCAATAGCTTGAGTTGATCGGTTACACAAACCGACAAAAACATAGCAAAGAGACACAAATCAAAAGTGGTGCTACTTGTGTCTTAAGCCCTAACTCGCTTTAGGGCAAGCGAGGAGAAGATTCTTCAATCGAGACGGCGCCGTATTGAGTGATGTGAAACGAATTGAGAAGTTTCAGATGATTTCATGTACTTTTTAGAGTGAGTGACTCTGCGATACTTTTGTTGAGGTGAAAGCCAAAAAAAAAAATTTAATAGAGATAGACAGAACGAAAAATTTTAGCTGAAGATCACTTTTTTTTTTACATTTATATATATATATATATATATATATATAAGTCATATTTAACTAGTAAACATAGTGTGGCATATTAAATACTCCCTCCGTTTCATTTTAATTGTCATTCTAGGCTTTTACACACAGATTAAGAAAACATTTAATTTTATATATTTTCGAGATAAAAACACAATTACCTATACACCTAACCACTTTTCAACCAATAGAAAAATAGAATATCATATAAAACTAATAAATTTTGCCTCGAAACTCTAAAACGACACTTATTTTGAAACGAATTTTTTTCTCTAGAATGACAATTATTTCGAAACGGAAGGAATATTACATACGCACAGTAATGGCATATTAATAATATAAAAATAATCATATACATCAAATCCAAGGAACAATGACAAGGTTTCGAGATATCTTCTCTGGATATATTCGTTTTTTTTTTTTTTTTAGCTTCTAGTTTTTTTTTAACAACAAACTTATAGCAGAGAAAATAGAGATTTTGTTTTTGATTATAACTTAAAAGAGAAAGGCATTAAAGAAAATATTAGCAACTTTTAGACAAGATAATATGAACAGCAGATTTATATGTATTAACCATCACTCTACTATTTGATTGCTAAATTAGTTTTTGGGTGAAAAACCTTCAAACTAAATAACATTTACTTTATCACTGCTCTATTTTTTCTTCTTCTTTGACATCGCATTTTGCTTTTCAACGTTTTTTTTTTAACTTTTGCTTTTCATAATGCGTACAATTGTTTAGCCGTACTTTGTTGATTAATTAACAACATTTTATATTATAATTTGCGCCCATATTCCCTCCTCTATGCTGCTACTAGATCGTGGTGGTGCCAAGGTTCTCCACTTGTCTAGTAAGTATAATTATATATCCAACTTTACCGTACTAATAAGAGGGCAGGGCGTACATAATTAAGAATAATTTAAGCTAAGTAGATAAGAATGAATAATCAGTTATCTATTTTCTTTTTACCAAATGAATTGTAGCGTACCAGAAACTTTATTTATTATGAATATAATGTCAAATCTACACAAATGAAAATTATAGATGCATATTTAGTCTTATAGTTGTGTGCGTGAGCTAAAAATACATATACACATATGGGCAGAGTGCACACATTAAAATATTCGAAAATCCGTTTTTTATCGAAGCAAATGTTACTATGCTAGTACTCATATATTGTGAAAGCTTAAGAACCTGCAAAATAATATGGTAACCAGGGAAGAAAACTCAACGGTTGAGAACTATTACACAAAATCAATTAACACTGAAATCCTAATTTGTAAACCTTAACAAGCAAAAAGAGTGCCTATAATAATTTGAAAATTTAACCGTATGAAAACGTGGATATGGAGAAAAGGCAACTAATAGTCTTTAGAGGAGTAGAAACAGAAGTTGTTTAACACTATTGATGAGAAACAAGATAGAATGATAAGAGTAGAGAACTGCAAAAAGTATTATTGACTCTCATGGTTCTAACATATATAGTATCAGTGATAAGATTTTTTGACCTAATTTACTACATCTACAATTATACTGATGTTGGATCCTTTGTAAATATTTTCATGTTGTCCATGTTTTAGACCTAGATATCTGATTGTGAGGGAGGATATTAATGAAAACATCTTACATCAAAAATATAACAATTAATCTACTACTATATAAAGAATTATGGTTAATACATTAATCACCAATTAATTTTAATTTTAAAATTATAATAAATCTGAATCTAACAAAAACTTGTATGAATCTAATATTAGAATGGAAATGGTATATCTTTTATCATGATTAACTACAATGGAATGAAATAATTTTATATCCACGTGGATATGTGAGTCGTGAGATATTGTGTGATTAGAGCATCTCCATTAGTGAACCCCTATTGGGGTTCACCAGGTGGCACTTTTTTTTTTTTTCAAAAAAAAAAAAAAAAAATTTCGACGAATCATGGTTCGCCACTTGGTGAACCCGTGATGAACCAATATCACCGCAGCAAACTCAAGTGGAGCGGGTTCATCACTGTTTGTCTCGTAAACCGTGTGAACCCCTTCCTTGAACCCCTCTTAAACTCCTAATGAAGATGGTCTTAGTAACGAGGTTAGCACGTTACCAAGATGCCCACATAGAAAGCAAATGAGACCTTCTAATGTCGATCAGAGCCGTTGAGTTACTTGACGAGCGCCATCGGACGACTCATGACGTGAACGGTGCGATCGCACAGTCTGGTTGATCCACACGTGCACGGAAGCATAACCACGTGCGGTCAAATTGCCAGAGCAGATGCGGAGCTGTTTAACCACGTGGATGCGGTCGGAAGCATCGGTATTTGGTCCACATGTAGCTTCCCCAAATCTATCTTATTACGCATAGCTATAAAAATACCTCGACTCAATCTTTATTTACATTCTTAAATATTTAATTCTATCGAAATTCTGATTTTCAAATCTTGGAACATAGTGTAAAAATACACTTGAACCACTCACTGGTGGTGTATGTAGGGTAGTAGTTAAATAGTGTTAGAGCTGGTTATGTTGTCTTTCGAGTTTCGGTGGATAAAACGCTTTATACTATATTCTCTTATACATATATATCATGGTATTATAAAATATTGGTTTCAGGCATAAGAAAATATAAAAATCTGAAGCTCAATTTTTCTGATCTTACAAAAAGTACTTCAAAATATTAATCGCATGTCTATATATAACATGATGTGAACAGGAACAAAAAAAATCATAAGATGATGACGATATATCATGCCAAGTTTTACAGTTACAGGATATATACGACTTGAGTTTAAATTATACTGGCCGAGTCTCCTAAACTGCAATTAAAAAAAAAATTAGTTAAGTACTTTTTTTTTTGTCAAAAGACACTACTTTCTTAAACTGGCGACATTCAGGGTTTTTAAGGATTAGTTAGTGACTTAGTGTTAATGCATAACCTCCCTTCTTCACAATGTTTTCCTCCAAAACTATCATATCAAACTTGACTAAAACATTTGTGGGAAATCCATCTATAATAATATTAGTGTATATTTAATTCATAAGTTTGAAACAGAACACTTGTAACCTGCGGATTGACCAAATCTGTTCATATGGTCTTCGTCGGACCTAATCGTGCATCATGCATGCATCAATTAGTGGTAATTAGGTCAGTACAAGGAATTAATAATACCCATACAAAATCATCCTTGTTGTTGGTATATATCGCGTTTGATAAGATTTTGAATTGAAATATCGTTGGGTCAATGCATAAATACTCTTGTCGGTCTATATGTATATATTTCTTTCGTATTAAAAAGGCTGGAGTTCGTCCAATAGGGGATGAATCGAAAACTTGGATTGTCTATGTGTTTCACAATGTATCTAACATGTACAGTACATGTAAAATGGTTAATTAAAAAGAAATGCGACAAAAGAAGAATGATTATGAATTGATAAATTATTGATTTTTAATATACCTTTTATAAAGCAGGAAGTAAAACAAGAATATTAGGGGACAGCATTTTGGACAATAAACTTTCATATAACTTTGGCGACTTGTGATGCCACTAACCCCATCCACCAATTATCATGTCTTTTCATTATTAATTTATTAGCTTTAATATAGGAAAAGATAAAGTCTATTTGAGTTTTAATGCTTTTTCCAAATGAGTTTATCAACAGTTCTTTGTTTTTTTAATTGTATTTAACCTTGGTGAAGAGTGAAGTAAACTAAAACAAAAGCACTGGATAGAGAATAAACATATATACAAATATCTGAAAAAATATATTTTAAAGGTATACTTGTAACAAACTACCTCATATTATACCAATGATTACAAAACCTTAATATATAAATAGTTGAGTTACGTGTATAAAAACTTCTCCATAGCGCAAATTAGCAAAGTGGCTCGAAAAATGAAGGCCCACATGTTGACCTATTATGGACTTCTGTGACTTATTATCGAGAATTTGGGCCCAGGTTAGACATACGTTAACGAAACAATTCGGCCCATGAAACTTGAAATCTCTGTATAAGTGTACAATACTGATATCCAATCCTAATTGAGCTTTAACATTTTGAGAACTCCTCCGGCCGTGTAGAAACCTCTACTTACTCACATCTCAAGACCAAATCAGTTTCTTTCTCAAATTTATAAAATAAGAATCACAATCATGAACCCAATAAAAAAAAGCTATTGATCATTTGACCTAGTGGACCACAAAACAAACTCTTTCTTTCTTATTTATCAATGCTCGAGGGTCAAGTGTCGACCCAAAGATAGGAATATTATATACATATAGAGAGATGAGTCTTCTTGAGTAAAGAAGATCCGTATCTCTTACCACTCACCAACTACTACTACGAGAGAGATGTCCCAACACACACGGCTATTTTTTATTTTGTGCACGATAAGAAATTTTTTGAAAAACTAACAGAGACAAAATCACAAGCAAGTAACGCACTCATATCCTTAAACGCAACTGCATACATGTTTTTCATCATAATATAGACAAGACAACACTTGCTAACAAACACAAGACAAAAGGTTCCAAAGAGAAACATGAATTATCCATGAGTAAGAGAGAAAGAAGGAAAGAAGGAGACAATGACAATCACAATTCTCTCCCTCTCTCTCACTCTTAATCCCCCCACCAAAAAAAAAAAAAAAAGAAGTTTAAAGTCAAACAAAAAACAATACAAACAAAAAACAAATTTAAAATTTTTATTGAACAAAAGAAGGCAAAAGGCACGCACATGGCTAAGTGTGTCCACCAGAGAGTGAAATGAGTTGTAAAAAAGCCTGCCTTCTTTACATTTTTTTTTGTCCTCCTTCGAGTTTTTGGCCAGACAAGAGATGATGATGATGATTCCACATCATGTTGTTGTCGTTGCTCCAGAGATGTCTCTGCTGGATCTATTGTATTTCATGTGACTCTTCACAAGTTGTCCAGCTGCTATTGCTGACATTAGTGACAACTCTCCGGCCAATACTGCTCCTGCCACTATCGTCGCTAGCCTCCTTGAGTTCATCCCCGGCGACTCCTTGCTCGCTCCTTTAACTCCGAGCAGGTTCAAACACGCTGATTGAGACGCTAGCTGTGTTCCTCCTCCCACTGTCCCCACCTGAATAATCCAAACCATTATTAACTAACAAAACTCTAAAAATGAGCTTTGATTTGATCAATTACCTCAATAGATGGCATAGTAACCGAGATATGAATATCTTTCCCATCATTAATAGCTTCCATCATTGTAATACACTGAGAACTCTCCACGTTCTGAGCTGGATCTTGACCAGTAGCTAAGAACACAGCAGAAACAATGTTACTAGCATGAGCGTTGAATCCACCTAGAGACCCTGCAATAGCAGAGCCCGTAAGGTTCTTCAACATATTCAACTCCACCAAAGAAGCCACACTCGTTTTCAACACCTTGTTCACAATATCTCCTCTAATAACCGCCTCACAAACAACTGACTTCCCACGTCCCTCTATCCAGTTCACCGCAGCTGGCTTCTTGTCCGAACAAAAGTTCCCTAAAACAATTAAATCACACACACAACAACAACAAAAATCAAATCTTTCGCTTACTCAAAGCTCAACAATTAAAACACACACACACAACAAAAAAAATCAAATCTTTCGCTTCTCAAAGTTCCACAATAATAAATCTGAGAGTCTTTTAACCTAAAAGGGGAACTCACCAGAGATTCCAATGACATCCATGTCAGGAAAATCATCAGTAAGAAACTCAAGAACATTCTGAACACCTTTAGAAACCATATTCATCCCCATAGCATCACCAGTACTACAACTAAACCTCACATAAGCATTCTTCCCAGCGATTGTACACATCACACTCTGCAACCTCGCAAACCTACTCGACCTGCAAACCACAAAAAAAACAGTCAGGGGAAGATCTCAAGATTACATCTTTAAACAAACAAACACACACAAACCTGTTGAAAACAACAGCCAAAGTCTCGAAATTCTCAGGACTCTCCAAGAAAAACTTAAGCTCCGCCGCTCTCCTCGCCGAGGCAAACCTAACAACAGGAGCTCTAGTCATCCCATCCTTAAGCACCGTACACGTGGCGCCACCAGAGACATACATAGCCTTACACCCTCTATTAGTACTCGCGACCAAACAACCCTCAGTAGTCGCCATCGGAACAGAATACTCGTAACCGTCGAGCAACAAAGGCCCCGCGATCCCCACGGGAATCTGCACGTATCCCACAGGCATCTCGCAGCATTGCCCCAAGATCGAATCGTAATCGAATCCTTCCAACGGCAATCCTTCGATCGACCTCCCGGTCATCCTCTGGAGCGCTTCCCTCCTTATCGACGCGGCTCTCTTGCAATCTCCGAGACGCGATTCGAGAGAATACGAAGGAATCGCTCCGTCGAGGACGGATTTCACGATCTCCTCGTCTTCCTCCGGGAGAGGAGTGGAGGGGATGGGAGAAGGCGGAGGAGGAGGGCAGGTGAGGAGGCGGTGGTCGTGGTGGAAGTCTCGATCGGCGGAATCGGAGCGGGAGATGAAGGATTGGACGAAGTCGATGCCGAAGAAGCCGAGGAGGTAGATGAAGGAGGCGATGAGGGAGAGGATGGCGCCGAGCTCGGAGACGGTGACGACGTGGAGAGGGGTGTTGTAACGGATCTTGTCGCGCCAGCGGTGGAGGAGGTAGTAGGCGACGGAGAAGAAGAGGGTGAAGAAGACGGCGTTGGTTAGGTAGAGAGGGAGAGGGAGAGCGTCGGAGGCCTTTGGAGGAGGAGCGATGGTGTTTGTGGTGGTGCGGTCGTTGTTTTTCGAGGATCGGTTTGGGTTAACCGGCGGTTTAGGAGGTCTCCGTCGGATATCCATTTTTAAATGAAAAAATGAATATCCAAAGGGAGAGAGGAGGGGGTGAGGTGGCGTGATAAGTGTGGAGAGGAAAGGGAGGGGTGAGGAGAGATTAGTATGTTTTATAGCAGGTTAACGCGCTTTTCTTGTTTCAGACACCTCTCTTTTTTTTTTTTTCTTCAATTTCTTCTATTATTAGTAGGGCTTTTCACGTTTTTTTTTTCTTTATTCAAAATGAAGACAAAATTAGTTGGCAATTTGAAATAATTAACCGCAAAAGTTAATATTTTATTTTTATAAAATAGCTATATCGCAAAAGTTAATAATGTTGTTTTTTTTTTTTGAATTCGTCTAATATTAGTAGGGCTTTTCACGTTTTTTTTTCTTTATTCAAAATGAAGACAAAATTAGTTGGCAATTTGAAAGTTTTAACTAAAAATTTTGAAATTTTATGTTATAAAATAGCTAAATCGTTAAAAAAAAGTTGTAGAAAGTTAGAGATTTTTCCCTCATTTTTCTTTGAATTAAAAAAGTTTCAACTAAGGTAGTTTTATTCAAATGTAATATTGTCACAATAACATCCATTTAAATAAAATTACTTTAACTCGACCCTTTTTTTCCTTTTTTATAAAAATAAGAGAAAGACATCAAGAGAGTTTGTGAGATTAAAAATTACCTTGAAACATATTTTTACGTAATTTTTTAGTAACCTTTTTCTTGTAACCAGCTAAATTTTAGTAACCTTCTAAGTTTTAAAAGTCATAATCTATTATTAGCATTTAATTTTTTTTTTTTTTTTTAATTGTTTTATAACGCTTTGCATATAAGTGGTTCTGTCCAAACTTAGTATCCGTTTTATAAAAGATTTACACGTTGTAAACATGCATTGGGTTTTCTGGAACAAAATTTTATGTGATGATTAGTCTTTGGAAATGTACTTCATGCATGGGGTTTGTGGAACAAAATTTTATATTTGATGATTAATCTTTGGAAATGTAGGTTACAAAAAAATGAATCCTTGAATTATGGTATAAGCTATTTATCAAACATGTGTTGTCTCAAAATTATGTAAAAATTGAAGTATACCGTAAGTAATAATACGGTTTTTACATAATTTTGAGACACCACATGTTTGATCAAATAGCTTATACCATAATTCAAGGAATATTTCATTTTTTTGTAACCTGCATTTCCAAAGACTAATCATCAAATATAAAATTAATAATACGGAAAAGAAAATGTAAATGACAGCAGCAAAAACAGATAATTCTAAGAATTTTAATAAAGATAATTGATTTGTTATGAAGCAGTGGAAGCCACATTGTGTCACGTTCAGGGATCTGGTCGACGCTAGACCTTACTCGAAGTAAACAGACAAATTAAACCAACCCCCACTTAATGTTAAACAAATAACTAAAATACTATTTAAACCTTTTAATTACTCTTACAATAGTATATTTAGGTTTTATATTTCCAGATTCCCTTCGCACAAACGTACAAATCTTTTTTTTTGTTTATATGTCGATAAGCTTGATGATGTGTGTTTATTTGGACTGTTAACCAAACTACAGATAATCCGCGTCTACCAAAACGCTGACGTTTAGGCACACAGGAGATTCTTATATGTATGGATGGACTCTCCTCTCTCTGCTTCTTACTGATTCTTAGGCTAACTTTTCGACTGTCTATATATATTTGTGTCAGAGGTGGTCCTCTTTTGTCCAGTAGCATATACGTAAATTAAGTCAAGTTAGTGAAACCCCAAAAATGTTGCCGTTTTAGTGATCTCTAGTTTGTAAAACTATTCAAGAGAATTTGTTATATGTCTTATTTTTGGGTTTGCTTCTCATTGTCAATGCTTGTAATAATGTCCCCGTTTGAGTAAAGGTTTTACTTGGAGATTTTACATTTATCTCATGGTTTCGGATTAGATAATCTTGGAATCGGACAAGAGTCACTCTACGTACATGTCTTGTAGTCTTGGAAATGGTTTGTCTTGTCTCAACCTTTCAATTGTCACCTTGTTGTCTTAATGTTACTACTTGCTTTTTGGATGTTAGGTTTGATGTGAAAGCTTTCTATATTGAGAAAGAATTGTGGAGGAAGACTCTCTCCCATCCGTATCGGGTTTTCGCATTTACAAGTTAGAAGGACTCAAGTTGAGTTCATAGTATGAAATAAAGATATGTTTTGGTGACGGTCCGAGGGAAACGTGGCAAAACCAACCTCGGAAGAAAGATCTTTCTATCATTTACAACATAGACAAAGCTCACATTATCAATCCACTTACCTTCAATCTCCGCATCTCTGTGCCCTCTTCCATGTCTAAAACTCTCTAGTAACTAAAAATTGTGCGTAAAGTATACAACTCATAGGCATACCTATAGCTCAAGTTGGTCAGTGATTGTATTAGCAGTTTTGTGTCTCGTGGCGGTGCTCATAGTTCTTTGTTTCTACCAACTTCTCATCTTATAAAGAATCAAGGTGCACGTTTTTGCATCGCAGCCACTGGAAAGATATATACTTGAGGTTACAAATGTTTCTTCTTGTTATATAACTTTGTTATTGTACAAAATACAAATCATAGTTCTCCTCTTATTCTTTTGATTATTCTAACATTTGCCGACTTTTCTGGCCAATAGTGTGAGAGAAAGAAAGTAGTCAGAGATCCATAATAAAATGCAAAAGTCATTTTTCTCTTTTGTTTTTTCTCAAATGATAAAATTCAAAAAAAAAAAAAGTTCCTACATACTTTTCTTAACTAAAAGTGTCAAATGCTATATATGTTTCCCTTCTTCATATATTTCATTAATAACATTCTCAAAAATGCAAAAAAAAAAGAATGAATAATAACTAAAAATATATATACAAACCTTAATAAATGGTTGATAAAATTTAATATTTCTTCAAAAATATTTCATTTGAATATATGTTTGTAAATTTGAACTGCAATCTTTATCCACCTTGAGCCCTCATAATTCTACGCTGCTACATTCCAAGAAGCTGTTAAAAGTCATATTTTGACTTGTGTATAAATAGTTGTGAACCTGTTTCTCTTTCGTTCATTCCAAAAACACATAATAAAAGTTGATAAATAGAGACTTAAATGGCGGAAAAGCAGAGTATCTGTGTTACTGGTTCAGGAGGGTATATTGCTTCGTGGCTCGTTAAGTCTCTTCTCTCCCGTGGCTACACTGTCCATGGAACCGTTCGAGATCCTTGTAAGCAAGAAGCAACAACCAAAAGAATAAATCTATGTTTACTTTGGAGGAGACTTTGGAATTGATATTTTTTTGGTAAACATGGATTTATTTATTATTGATTTGTTCTCAGGTGATCGAAAGAACGACCATTTGAAGAAGTTAGATAATGCTTCAAAGAATCTGAAACTTTTCAAGGCAGATTTGTTTGACTATGAAGGTCTTTCTTCAGCCATTTCTGGTTGTTATGGAGTTTTCCATATTGCTGGTCCTGTGCCTTTTGAAGATGTTCCTCTCACAGAGGCAAGTTCTTGATGTTTTGCATCCTCTTTACTATCTTGAATCACTTACAAACCCGGCTTTGAATCTAAAAACATTCAGGAACAACTGATTAGACCAGCTCTCACTGGCACAAAAAACGTTCTAGAAGCATGCACAGAAGCTAAAGTGAAGAAAGTTGTGGTTGTATCATCAATTGCTGCTGTTGTTTACAACCCAAAATGGCCTAGAGATGTTGATGTGGACGAGAGCTGTTGGTCAGACACTCAATACCTTCACTCACTTGAGGTAATGTAACTTGGTCCAATGCAAAAACCAAAGACCTTAAGTTTTACGGTTTGATTAAATTTATTTCCAATTTAGCTCAGTCAACATAAGTTTATATATTTTTTTGGATTAACAAAGTATCCGTATTTTATTGCCCGTTTTCTGAAAATTTTGGGTATTTTTTCCATGATGCAAAATGAGAGGATCTCAGGGTTATTGGTCATATTACTTTCTTGCTAAAACGTTAATGGAACGTGAAGCAATAGAGTGGAGCAGAACAAGCTTAGCTGATGTTGTTACGGTCTGTCCCTCGGTTGTGATAGGCCCTAGGCTTCAGTCCACGCTTAACTCTAGTAGCTTGGGACTTCTAAATTTTATAAAAGGTGATGTAATCATGTTTCTATAATTATACATACATCTTGGTTTAATCTAACACATATTCTTGATTTTTTTTTGATGGACTGGTGTGATCACAGGCGGTGTAATATCCTTGTTGAGTGACCAGCTCTATCTTGTGGATGTGCGTGATGTCGCGGATGCGCTTTTGTTAGTGTATGAAAATCAAGAAGCGAAAGGAAGATACATATGTAATTCTCATTCACTTCACAACTATGATCTTATGGAGAAGATGATGAATATGTATCCTAAACGCAACTTCCCTAAAAGGTAAACCAACCAACGGTTTAATTTTCACAAATCATGAGATCTCTCTGGTCTGATGTGATCAAATGGATATAATGGCAGTTTCAATGAGAGAAAGGAGAAGCAAGTGAATGGGAATATACTTCGAATAATCTCAGAGAAGTTGGAGAAATTGGGGTGGAAGTTTAGGTCGTTAGAAGAAACCATTGATGACTCTGTTGTGAGCTTTGAAGCTACTGGTGATCTTCCAAAGCAGTAATAGCTTATATCTCATCGTGCAAGGATGATATGGTTCTTCTTCGTCTTTAACTACTTTAGTTTTACTGTCGTTTTAAGATTTTACATTTGTTTAACATAAAACAAAGAATGTTATTTTTACATTTCTGATGCAGAATTTTAAATAAAAATCTAATTTTATTCTTAGTGTTTTAATGTATTTATCGAAAAGAGAAAAATATTAATTCACATAAAATTGAAGGTTAAATAACTTTTTTTAATATGCATAAAATTTTCTCAAATAAATTTTATGATATAGACGGAGTTTATAATTTAAAAAAAAAAGAAAAAAATAATTATGTCTTTCTTTTGCTAAGAAAATAATTAATGTCATTGTAGCATCTAAAAATGGTTGACAATGGACCACAACTGTCAGTACATAAAAACCCCTATCCCTAGCCATCGATTTGGGATTCAGCGAGGACGAGGCTTCATCTACACCATCCAAAATTCAATTAAATGTTTCTGTCTCGTTTATAGCTTCAATTCGAATGGATAAAATAAAAAAATAAAAAAAAAGAATCAACAAAAGTAAAGTTAGATATTTTCTTTTTGCTTCGGACCAAACATAAGTTCAAATTATGTGTAAACGGATAAAGACACGACAGGAGAGCGATAATTGCAACGTTAATTACAGAATTAAGAGAATAAATCAATGGGCCCCACGTCATTTACACTGGCCCAAAAACAAAAGGTATCTCTAATCTCTGTCTTTCCTCTTCAACAAATCACGCACCATCATCATCATCATCATAGTCATCAACAACTTGTTCATCATCATCATAACAATCAATGGAATTCCCCAAAGAAAACTTATTTTTCCTTGAATCAATTCATCATCACCATCTCTGTATTTTACTATAAAATTATTTTCTTCTCAAACTATAATTGTTCTTTCTTTCTTTCTATTATTGTGTGATCGTTCCAGAGTACAGAAACCCTAATTACACTGACCGACTCTGTCCTCTTTGTCTGGCCCATTACAGAACCCACACACTGCTTTTGCTTTTCGTTTTTCCCGGGGAAAATTGATCCCTTTTCCTTCCTTTCGTCATTATTACTTAGTGAACCAATCTTTTAGTTTTTTTTCTCTCCTCACCATCTCCGAGTAAACCCTAGAATCCCTCCCCCCTTCTAATTCGATAAGTTTCATTTGTAATTACGTCCAGGGTTTACTCGGTTTCCTTAAAAGTTTGATCCTTTCTTCCTTTATTCACTTAAAGTTTCCATTTTTATTCCTCTCTTCTCTCTGTCTCATGGCGTATCAACCGGTTCAGGGTTCTGGGTTTCACTACTTGAATTCACCTTTCGGAGATACCACTTTCACTAAGGTATTTGTCGGTGGACTTGCTTGGGAGACTCAAAGTGAAGCCCTTCGTCGTCATTTCGAACAGTACGGTGATATCCTTGAAGCCGTTGTCATTGCTGATAAGAACACTGGCCGATCCAAAGGATACGGCTTTGTGAGTCTCTTTCTCTCTCTCTCTCTCTCTCTCTTCTCCTTCATTATAATGATGTCTTTCTCTGTTTGTAGACTCTAGAGATGCTAAATGTTGCTATAGAGATAGAATTCTTTATAGATCCAATGCCAAAACATAGAAAGTTACTTGTTTGAATGCGTTTCAGTTTGTACTTTGTAATGACTCTGTTTTTTTATTTCATATGGAGGAATTTTAGGTGACTTTTAGAGATCCAGAAGCTGCTAGGAGAGCTTGTGCTGACCCAACTCCAGTTATAGATGGTAGACGTGCAAACTGTAATCTTGCTTCCCTTGGTAGACCTCGGCCTCCGTTGCCTTATGCATTGATACCTAACATTCCTGGTCAGTCTTTTCTGCAATACTCATTTATACCCTTTTGCTTACCGTAGATTCACATGTAGTGGATTGGTGGTTTTTTCTTTGGTTAGGACGCTTAAGACCTGCTTCCCCCTACATTGGAAATGTGCAGGGTCCTCGTGGTACACCTTTTGCAAACTATCCGTATCAGCAACCACTTCCATATAACTACCAGCAAGGACTTGTGTATCCTTATGGGTAAACTAATGACACGTTGCACTAGCGTCTTGGTTCATTAATGTGTTGCTAATGTTTGTTTGTATTCTCTTCTCTCAGTGTTGCTGCATATGGACCTGAGTACATGTACTCACAGTCACAGGTTGAAAATTGCGAAAAAACACTTGATGTTATCTCTCTTCCTAGTTATATCTCTTGTAACTTTGTCTTGTTTCATGGGTTAAGGGGTTATATGGTCCATACATGGGTCAGCAGTACCTTCAAATCTACGGAGTACCTGGGGCAGTTAACACACCAGTTTATCAGTACGGGCAATTAAGTCAGACTGTTCCTAGTGGCCAGAGTTATACAGCAGTTCAAGGGTATTCGGTTCCAGGAAGCCATGTTCTACAACTTGGTGGACCTACTGTTACTGCGATGACTACTTCATCCATGCCTGCTCTTCAAGCTCCATATCCTACAGGTGTGTTTTACTGTCTCAAGCATCATAGTAAGCCTATGGAAAAGCTAAGTTTAGGTGCAATTTGGTGATGATGCTCTCTTTTGAATGTTTGTCAGGCCCTGCTCCAGGACAGTCCCATATCATTGTCCATGCTCCTCAGTTTATGCAGAGTAGCAGTTCTGACCAAACAACAAGGTAAGACTGAGGAGAAAGGAAGTGAAAGGAGCCAGCGAAATTGCTATTCAATGTGGCAGCAGAAGCTTCCTGTTTATTTTAAGTCGTCAAGTTATTTATCTTGCATCTGAAAGGTTTGTGTTTCTTATACTGCTACTGGTATCATCACAATGCCTACATCTCATTAACACCAAGATCTTATCGCGTTACAGGTTATGTATAATAGTCTTGCTCACTGGAAGGGAGAAGAAAGAAAAAGAAGTTGGGAGTCTCAGGGTTTGTGCTTCCGTTTTCTTACTCATCCGTCAATGTGTATATCTAAAACACAGACACAAAGATGCTGCTGGCTCAAGCTGGGGTTGAGTTTGCAGCCTTGCTGGCATGATAACGGTTTTCCCGAGGAGGGGTAACCGTTGATAATAAGATGGTGTACTATATGCATATATACACACATACACAAGCATATACATAGTAGAATCAAAATCTGATTCTTTATTAGTCTAAGGTCGTAATACCACTACACTTCAGGTACAGGAGTGTAGTGAGTAGCATTCATAGGTATATAGCCTCTGTCCTCAAGTCCTGCATTGTAAGTAAAGCATGTTTATATATATCCTTTAGTTGTGTAGGGTTTGTATGTTTTTCTTCCATGTCTGAACACACTGATGAAGAATTGTTATCCAAAGCTTACTTCAAAGTATGGAGTTAGTTTTTATCTCAAGAATTTGATTGAAAAAGGTGATTGTTTAGTAAACAAAATGTTTGATCTGGTTCTGTTGACATTATCAGATGAATTTGAAAGACTTGACTGCCTGCAAAAACAGAGAGAAAAAAAAGTCATAAGCGACATGTTTTGGTAAAAATATTCTTTATTGTTGTTGTGTCTTTATTTCTTACCTTCTGGATCTTGGAGCTTTGATCAGCAGATCCTTCATCTGTAAACTGTAACAACCAGAGAGGGTCATTATATCAGAGATAACACAACTAACTCTAATCATAGAGGTTGGTTGTAATAATAGGAGCAGACGTACTTGTCCTGTGACAGTGTATAAACGGTTGTACCAACCGTTTGTTGCCATCCCAATTGCAGAGTACAAATGCTTACGTGCTTCTCCAGGGTTTTGCAATGTATACTCAATGTAATAGAACCCTAATCACATACCTAACTTTTGTCAACAAAACAAAGCAGATACATCAAAAGATTTATTTCTATTTAACCTTTGGAAGATCTGCTGTCAACCAGCTTTGCAGTCACTCCTGCTGGTTTTTGCCAGCTTCTATCCAATCCACTGACCTATAAAACATAGATCACATATAAAATACACTTGTGTTGACAACTCTGTTTTTGAATAGAAAGAGGAGTCTGGTGTAAGAGACTCAACCAGTGTTTCGGCGAAAGCTTCGACCTTTCCAAAAGATTCCATCCGTGTGAAATCTGGACCTAGTCCAGTGATCGCTACACTCACTGAGATGACAAAAAGACATATACACCTATCAGTTAACTGATGATTTTATGAACAAAAAGGAAGAACAAACAAAACATATTACCATTGTATGTTGAGGTTTCTTCAGGGTAGAAAGCTGTGATTGACTTGAACCCGTTGGGTTCTGCTGCTTGTCCTACTTGCCAGTCTTTTCGTGAAAAGCAATTAGTTTTGTTAGTTAATCATGATCTAGTCACTAAGTATCTGAGTTTTAGTAGTGTACCTTGTGGAATTGATATCTCGAACTTGTTTGCTTCATCTGTGTACACACGGAAAGCATCTGAAGCATCTGTGAAGAAAAAAAAACAAAAATTGGCTACATTAGCTTTTAGACTCATTCCTGAACATCGAAACGAGCTTTGAAGCAACAGTACTTGTCTCTGCAAATGCAGGTGAAACGATGAAGGGAAAGAAGATAGCAGAGGAAGCTATCTGTAACATGACTTCCCTTCTCTTCATCCCAACATGATCTCCAGAACTGTACACAGAAGATAACAATGGGATTCAAAATAAACCCAGATGAATAAAAGTAGAAGTGATCACTGTCTTACAGAATCTGATGATGTTCCTCGTTGGAACTATCGAGAACAGAGACGACAGCAGGAAGTGATGTGCATCTTGCTGAACCTGGAAAGAAGACGATGAAATGGTGAAGTGACAAAGATGGAGAGAGAGAGTTTGAGGACATGTAGTGATCTTACTATAGCGAGTGGAAACGCGGGGATTCGAGAAGCTCTGTGGAGAAGAAAGCCATGGAGTAATCGCTGCCATGTGTTTCAAGATATGTCTGCTTCTGAGAAAATCTATTGCAGTTTTGGTCTTTCTACTTTTTTTTTCTTCTTTCTTTAATTTTTAAAATCTATTACTTATTTCTATTTTCTTATAAATTATTTATATAATTTTCGTTATATTTTACAGTCTAAATAAAATAAGTTAATAAATAAAATAAATATGAGTTATTCTTCCTATTTATAATACTATAACACTATTAAAATTATTATTAGAATTTTGTTCAAATAAACATTAACATTATTATTTTTTATTTATCAGAAACATTGAAATTACAAAAGTCAGAAAAAATTACATTACATACAACTGATTACATATAGGATTTGAACCATAAACAATGACTTAATTCCCACACAACAACATATACACACATTTTAAAAATAAAAGCAGATTATTCTTGTCATTTTTATTTTTTCTAAAATGATCAAATCATAAATTAAAATACTTGAATCATATGGTATAAACCTGCTTGGGTGAATCTTCAGTTACTAAACGGACACTGAGTTAGTTAAAAGACCTTCTCTTATTGCTGTTTGCTCCACTTCATTGCCTCTTCTTTTCCAAAGTAAACGAAGTGAGAAAGTAGCGAGAAGCAACGTTCTCCAAAACCAAGCTGTTGCGTTCCTCGGATCCACTCTCCTAGCAAGCCACAACGCATAGAACCCTTCACTCACGTGCACTGTCACCACAATCCCCGACGCTATCCGCAGTGCCAACATCGACCTGAAGATGAACAGAGCAATGACACGAAGGAACGGTATGGGTCCAATATCAGGTAGCCATGCAACGGATAGAATGCCAGGTAAACCGATCACACAGAAAAGCCATGCGTATATGCTTGGTCCGTCGACTTCTCTCCTCTTCTTGTCTTTAAAATATGTAATAGTTTCGGTCATGGCTTCTTCAGGTTGTGTCTTGGGCTCGTAACCTAGTTCCTCCTTGGCTTTCTTGATCGAGTAGTAGTTAGTCACCCCGACCTGTTACATTAATTAAACGTTATAAATTAATCCAAATCATTTTATTTATTTTTAAATCAATGTTGTAAAAATCGTTAAATAGTAGTAAATTTTAGAATACTGATTAAAAAAATCGGTTTGATATCTGATTTGTCGTCTAGGCGGAGTTCTCCTAGACGCTGTGTAAACCGATTTTTAGAACACTATTTAAAATTATCTAGTGTTTTTTATTGTGGAGTTGACTGGATCATCCCAAGCATTCAAAATATTCTAGCTCTGGTTCATCAAGACAAACCTTATAAACTTCTGGTGGAAGAATCAGTGGTTGTGGAATCCACCGTTGGTTCAGCAATGGTGATAGCATTATGTATATAGTTTTGCATATATTTCCAAGTGAAACCACAAGTGGTATAGATAGCGATGACTTAGGCAGGTCATAATCTAGATTCTTCAGTAGTGGTTGGAGAAACTCAAAGAAGTTTATAGGATTGCCATCAGAAACAAAGTAGGCCTTCCCAGCAACTTTAGAGTGATCAGAAAGTAAACCGGTGGTGGCTAACACGAGGGCTAGAACAATGTTATCCACGTAAATCCAGTCGATTTTCGAGTTTGGATCGCCGATTTTGAAGAGGAGTAAACGCAATCTTGCATCAGAGATTACCCTATCAAGATACTTCTCTTCACCAGGTCCATATACAAGTGGACAACGAATCGCACACGTAGATAAAACACTTCCATGCTCATTCCTAGATTCACATAAGCATATAGAACATTAGTATTACAATTCCTAAGATAGTAAATAAATAACATCATTATGATTTTACACTTACTCGACAATACGACCGTTGTTCTTGACAACCAACTGTTCAGCAACAGATTTGGTCCGATCATATGGACCGACGTATTGATTGGAAGATAAATAAGGAAGAGTTTCATCTCCATTTTCAATCTCTTTCCCACCAAACACCACACCGTTTGAGCTCAAATACACAACCCTTGTGATCCCTTTCTTCACACAGGTTTCCAAAACGTTACGAGTACCTTCAACGTTGACCTCCTCGATCCGACGAGTCTGAATCATTTCCTTACCCGAACCACCATACGAAGCAAGATGAATCACACAGTCTACTCCGTCAAGAGCCTCTTCTACGTCCTCTATGCTCACAACATCTCCTGATGAGATGGATATAAAGGGAACAAAGTATATATTATTAAAATATTTCATATCGAAAACGGAAATAGCTCCGAATTAATTACTCCCTAAATGACGCATGTTTTTGTAGTTTACAAATATTGATTTTTTTTGTCAACTTGTTTACAAATATTTGATTATGATACATTAATATTTTATGTGTTAAGCTATTTTCTATATTTAACCAATAATATTTGAATTTGGGCTTAAGAAATGTAACAAAGTTGACAAAAAGACAAATAATATTTGAATAACATTTAATATATTAAAAATCACAATTATTACTACTTTAAAAATTGCCTAAAATGTAAAACATGTATTTTTAAACACAAATTTTCATTTTAAATTTTTTATATCTTACAAAGAGGGGGCATGGTATAAAGCGACTTTATCAGTTAGGTTTGAGTTAGAAACATAATTCCAAATATATACACTCGTTTTGGTCAAACGTAACTAATCATAGTCTTGCAGCTCGTTGATTCAGGTATATAGAGTTAAATAAATTTGAATACCGTTTATGCAGTGGACGCCTGATTCTTTGAGACGGTCGGACCAAGCAGAGGTGGTGCGATAGTCTAAGGAGCGGACCTGGAGAGCTCCACGCCGGAGCAGCTCAAGGCACACGGCAGAACCGACTAAACCCAACCCACCCGTCACGGCTACGACTTTGCCTTGTATTCCTCTGTTCTCTTGTTCCATCTCCATATTTCGGTATGATAGTTAAGAGAATTTTTCTTTATATGAGAACACGGAGCTGGTTAATTAAGGTAATGGCTCCTTAATGATATATAGATTATAGACTAATGTAAATTAAATGCGTTAAGCACGGAAACGTAGTTGTCATATGAAGCACGTGTTTATATATGCCAGCGACACCATGTGGGTCGATTGATCACGACGATAAAGAGTTTGTAACGTGTAAATCCGTAAGTTATGCTAATTGCAAACTACCATTTCTAGTTTATCAGCTAATCGACAAAAGAGGAAGGACGGTTACTTAAGAAAACTGTAATTAACTAATGGAGGTTGTCCTTAATCTACTGGTTGAACAATAAATGTTGCACCATGTTTTAAGCTTTTCAAATCCCAAATATGGTAGTATAATATTTGATTAGGACCTGCAACACGCATATTAGCAATGACCCAGCTGTTCAAAAAAAAAAAAAAAACAATGACTCAGCGAGTTGCTTGTGTTTGAAAGAGTGTTGTTATTCACTCTCTCTTTCGTTAAGTTACATATTTTAAAAAAGAAAAATATTCCAAATTGTATATATATATATATATATTAATGTATATATTAGTTAATAATGGTTTATTACAAATTTCAAAACATTTAATTACATTTATTAGTTTAAAATATTAAAAGATACTGTAATTACAAAAATACTGCATTAATTATATATTTTATTAAAATGTCTAAAAAATCTAAAACAAAATGTAACATATTAAAACAGAGGGAATATAATATTGAAAATATAACAACAAGTTTTTCAATATTTTTAATCAACAGTGATTTTTTTTTCTTTATTTTTAAAACACAATCAAACGGTAATTGTATTTTATGCAATTTTAACATAAAGCGTTTTAAGAAAGATATTAAAAATTACTTTTCCAAGAAAATAGTTTTGTTTCTTAACGAAGACATAACTATTTTTTTAATGACATTTCTAGTGCTACTCTATTTTTCTTTATAATTTCTTTGGAAATAGAAAAAAAAATACTATAAAATTAAATTTAAAATCAAAAAATGATATACCTCTAGTATTTCACTATATTATAAAGTAATACCACTGAAGTAAAAATTACTATATAATAGGATTACTATATTTTGTAGGAAATTACAGAGAAGAAAATAGAATAATATGGTCTAACACAAACACAAGTTTTAAAAATTTACCATATATTAGAAGCCCTTAAATGCAAAGTTATTTTATTAGTGTTATTTCACCAAGTAGCTCCCAGTTAATACTTTTAGAAAGTAAGAAGAATTAATTGTTTTTGAACCTTTAAAAATTAAAAAAACCTTTAAAATTAAATGTTGTGTTGTAAATGGTTCAGTTTTAGCCTGGGGTTTTACCTAATTTAAACTATCACTTAATTAATAACTTTATATGTTTGCCCAAAAAAGGAAAACTAATAACTTTATACAAAATACCTAGTCAATAATGATGCTCTACATGCATTGGCTTGTATTATTAGCTCATAAACTACAAATGCATAAAACACACACATATACCAAACTAGGGCCGACCCGGGCTACGCCCGGGTTTTTTGTTTAAATTTAAATTTTAATTTTATATATTGTATGTTATTTTGACATATAAATATTATAATCTATTCGAAAAGTAGTTAGCTAGTTATAAAAGTAGTTAGACAACTATATATTATTTTTAATTATTTATTGTTTTTTGTCTTACGAATTTCAAAAATTTTAATGTCTAAATTTTGTCTGTCATCAAGTATGTATATATGTGTTTTGTGTATAATTATTGTGTATTGTGGCACTCGTCTCGACTTTTGTTTCTTTAATTCTTGTGTCTTATTATTTTATTTCAATTTTTTTGTAAATGTTGTTTGGTTATTTATCAATCATTGTTTATTGTTTGAATCATTTTTTGATAATTGTTCTAAATTTGATCTTAGTGACCTAAAATAGAAAAACAAATTAGTGTGTTTGATGAAATGTAAAGGAGAACAATATGATAATAGATTTTTCGCCTTTCCAAATTTATAGATTTCTCTATTTATTTTGAATATGTTTAATTATTGTATACTTTTTTACTAAACTATTAAATATTTATTAATCTTTTCAGTAAACAGAAAAAAAAAATTCATTAAACTCAAGTTATATTACTTAGCATCATTAAAATTTTAATTATCTATTTTTATATCTTATTAGTTCTTTATTTTAAATTCTTTTCATTATGTATTAATCGTTAGTTATTAATATCATTTCGTATTCTAGGTTAACCTTAAATTTTGTATTAAAAAGGGAACAAAAAATCTGTGAGAACGGATAGGTGACGATGGTGGAGACTGTTGTTATCATGATAAAATCAATCTCAAGAACTTTTCAATTTGTTTGTAGTCATGTGGGTTTTGTGCTTCTGCTCCGAGAATTGAACTTGATGCCATTGCGGTAAAGAAGTTAGTTTATAAAATCTTTGCGAGTTGAGCGAGAATGTAGAGTTGTATATCTCCTGGTAAAATCTCTATGCGCTATAGCTCTTAAAACTCAGACTTGTATATCTCAGTTTGTTAAGGTATGACGTTATGTTGCAAGGCTTAGATGTGTTGCTTTTATATAGTTGGCTACATTCCTATTACAATCGAGATAAAGATATGGAATACATAGATTCGGGAATCTTTTTTTTTTAAGATTTTGGGGGATGTTTTAACGTCAAAGTATATTAAAGTTGAATAATTTGGTATATATTTGATCACCGGATATAATAATACGGAAATGATTAAATGATATGTGAAATTGAAAATCTAAGAGCATTTATTACCAATAATCTAATGGTGTTGGCAAGGCCAAAGAGCTCACTATGATCACTGAACCTGAAGCGTTCTTGAGAAATTGAGCCAACCAGTTCGATTATCTCATCCAAATTGGTTGAATTTTTTACTATAAAAAACTCTTTCTTACAATTAAAACATTATTATATGTTATTGATATTTCTATTAAAATCGTTATGTCTACCTAATCTATAATAAATCCATTTAAACCGTTATGATTTCAGCCATTATAATAGGTCCCGCCAATATGATAGCATTTTGTAAATGCTATTTTGTCTTGACAGCATAATAGTGTTTTTTATAATTTGATATTATTGGGTGAACGTTATAATTAAAAATCTAATTGAAAACTGATTTACGATTAAAAAGAAAATAATTTTATTTATAAATTAAAAGCGGTTTACAAATAAATTCCGGGTTACAAAGCTAAACCAGAATTACAATAAAATAAAACCAGAACACATTAAACAAAAAACTAATCTTTCTGAAACTAACGCCTCTCTCCAGTCATGACCACCACCTCTTGCTCACGTTTAATACCTAGTTTACAATAGTGAAAAAGCTATAATGAGCAGAAGCTATAGTTAAATATGGTTCAAAATCTGAATTATGAACATGTGAGCAGAAGCTATATGAAACCTTATACTCGTGGTTTGATGACATTCCTATCTCAGACTATGAGAGAGAAGTTTTGTCTTCACATTTTCCTACAAAGAAAAGCAAGACATAACTCCAACAACAAAATCAAAACAAAACAGGTTGCAAGGAAGCTCTTAGGCGATGTAGTTGGGACCATCTTTGCTCTCTTAGTCGTTGTCTGCATACTTGGAGTAAAGAATTGTACTTCCAGTCAAAATTAATTGATAATGGCTGAAGTTTACCTTTCCCATCTTGAAAACTTGTTCCAATCACTATAACCTGCCAAAAATCAAAGAGGAGAATGTTAATACGTGGCACTTGTGTATAAGCTAAGAAACACATCATCAAGCTTTTGTACTTACCCTGCTAATAGAAGGCTTCTCTTTGGTATCTGGTTAGTAATAACCCTCCAGCTGTTTTCTCTTCATAAACTCATAAATATCAAAACAAAACTTCCTCTTGTTATCACTATACAAACAATAAGATGATTAAAATAGGTTAACTTTACTGAAAACTGGGTCATTCAAGGGCTTATCTTTGATGTCATCTGACTCAAGAAGGTCAACGATATCATTTTCCTTGAGAATGAGCTGCTTCACATTGTTGAATTCCACCTAAGTTCCTGCGTACTTGGAGTAAAAAATCTGGGCTCTAGTCTACACCACAACAAAAATGGAAAGACGTTTTCAGATAAACTTAATAGTAGACAATGAACAAAGAAAAAAGAGGATGTTACAAATATAAAAGACGACTTACAGCAACGACTTTACCTCCTTGAGGTTTTGATTGAGCTGTGGATGGAAGTAAGATACCTTCCATAGTCTTTTCCTCTGCCTACTTGATCTTCAAAAACTAAATCTCCCAATGGCTTAATTGATGTGTATTGAACAACCACGCAGAAGACAAATCAATAAGAAACAGAGATATAGGAAAGTCATACCAAAAAGAGAACATATTCAAATTCTGGCAAGTCTCCATTAAGATACCATCTGCTCCAACTGTAAAACTTCTTTCATTTAATTTATAAACTTCAACCTGCAAGAGAAACTTTTTATGAACATAAGAGAATCATCCACTTTTTGAACATTGAACCGAATCCATAGAAGAGAGTCAAACCCATCCTTTAAAAGATGAATGTAGGTGGGATACCGTGGAATTTGAGGGTGGCTCGCATCAGGATCGCCTGAAAACAGGGGAAAAAAACTAAATCATAGTCAACAAACAGATCCAAATACATCTCTATTGGAAAAAAAAAATGAAACATAATTTTGATAAATTTGAGTTTATAGGCCGTCGGAATCTCCATAGCATCGAGGAGAAGCATGTCAATATCCATTATCTTTCCACTGCGTTTGAGGTTTCTAGCTTCCCAAAAGAAGTCGGGGACTCCACGGTGGAAGAACAACCACCGGTTTTCAGATCGGAGAAGTTTCTCTTGTTAGATTAGTAAGATGGCGAGGATGATGATCATGGGATTGAGAAGGGGAAGAGGCGCCATTGCAAGAAGAGAGAGTCCGGTCTCTCGAAAGAGAAGAAATTAGGTTTCACGAAATGATTTTTTGCGAAATCCGTGTTTTGCCCTGTATCGAATAAGATGTCGACACGTGTTGTGACGAAATGGAAACACTTATCTAGCTGTCCTACGTGGACTTTCCTAGGTGTCAGCCTACGTGGACACACTAAGGAGTGATCCAACTCTTCTTTATATAATAGATACGATCATCTTAAATTGATTAAAACTATTAAACTAAGTTCATATGTGACAAATAAATGTTGGAAAAAAATGTTGATCCATAAATATATACTCCACTCCGTCAGCAAAGTTATTTTTTTTTTTTTTGAATGAATGTAAAATTTATTCAATCAAAACAGCATTACATCAAGTGCATCATAAGAGTTCAAAAGAACAGCTACAAAATAAAAAACCAAAACTGCAAACCAGACCCCTTTTACTTAACCATGAACAAGTTAAGTGTTTAAGAAGGCACATGGAATTTTCCTCATTAAAACCTCATCAAAGTAAACCCAATTGGGACAAACCTTTGATGAGGAAAAAGAGTAAAAATTCCATGAACCAGGGGAGAAAGAAAATAAAACAAAAACATGTGAAAAATCACCAAACCACAACCAAAACCGAATCTCCGAAAAAGAGCAGCCAAGAAAAACCAAGTCTATCAACTCCAACAAGACTGCTCCAGAACCAACAGACTGGTAACTTCCAACAAAGAGATACCAACAAACTCCCCCAGCAAAAGCCGCCAACCAACCAGACACAACCAGGACAGGAGGACAGCCACGGGAACAATAGGAACAGCCAAACAAAGAGGCACCAAAACTCCCAGACCCAAACTGATGACTTCCAAAACGAAGAGACATCAGCCACTCCAGCAACAAAAAACTCAAACTGATGACTTCCAAACGAAGAGACATCAGTCACTCCAAACCACACAACCAAACAGCAAAAGACCTACAGGCCAAGAAAAAAGAACTCCAGTAGCAATCGGTCAAACAAAAACACATTTGCCACAAACCATGACCTGCAAGAAGCTTCAGACATAACAATATATCAACCCATTGGAAAAACAACACCGCATCTCTAGGCTATTCACCTATGACCCTTGCGCTCTCACCAAGACCCAAACTGATGACTTCCAAACGAAGAGACATCAGCCACTCCAACATCAAAATCCCAAGCTGATGACTTCCAAACGAAGAGACATCAACCACTCCAACCACACAACCAAAAAACAAGAGAACCCACAGGCCAAGAAAAGAAACTCCCGCAGACAACAAGATCAAGTCAAAAGCTCCAGAAATACGGTCAATCCCTTGAGCCAAACCACACTCCTAAACCTTCATCCAAGTACTTTTGCCCCTTACCCTGAACTGCAAGAAGCTTCAGTCTTATCATTTTATCAACCCATTTAATTAACAACGCCGCATTCTTAGGTTGCTCACCATGTCTACGGCCATTTCGCTCTCTCCAAATACTATGTAAAAGCGCCTGAAAGGCGTAACGCAAGATAAAGATCTCAGTAGCCGAGAAATTAGAATTAGGCTGCGATATAATTTCTAAAATCACATTCCATTCTACTGAAAAAAACTCCTTCATGATGCCTCCAATCAAAGCCTTCCAGATTTCCTCAGAATAACGACATTTGAAAAATAGATGCGGGCAAGTTTCATCATCATCATGGCATAAGACGCAGATTGTACTCATTGAAACATTCCATTTCAGCAATCTATCACAAGTTTGCAACCTATTTTTCACAGCAACCCAGAGCATAAAAGAAAATTTAGGAGTAGACTGAGGAAACCATACTCCCTTGTTCCACAAACACACAGGCTGAGCCTGTCTCAAACACATCCAAGTTTTCTTAGTGGAAAACTTCCTAGCAAACCGGTTCGTATCATGTCGCCATAGAGGAATATCATCATTCTCATTATACCTATTTCGCAGTACTTCAATCTCCTCTTCAATCATATTAAGAATGGCTAATCTGTGCCTTTTCCTCCGATGGTGAAGAATCACATCCCCAACCAACGTATGTTCAGTAATGCCAAGACTAATGGTACCTCACCCATCAAGAAGGTCATTGAGACAACCCAAAGAAGACCAAGTATCATACCAGAATGAAGACTGCTTACCACTATGGACTTCCATCCGAACGTAAGACTTAGCAGTTTCCCGGAGCTTCAGAATTTTCTTCCACATCCAAGAACCAATACTAGAATTATACTTAACCGACCAGAAAGAACCTTTTCTTATGAGATAGCAATGAATCCATTTAACCCAAAGAGAAGAGTGAGTAGAAAATAACCTCCATATCAGTTTAAGACCAAGAACCTTGTTGACTTCCTTTAATGGCCGAATCCCTAACCCACCTTCTACCTTAGGTAAACAAATGTCTTTCCAGCAAACCTTAGCCTTATTGGAATTCAGCGCAGGCCCCGACCACATAAAAGCTGAACAAAGCCTCTCAATCTCCTTCAAACAACTTCCAGGAAGCCGAAAAGCCGACAACCAGAAATTAGCCATACTAGTAATAACAGAATTGATGAGTTGAAGCCTACCACCATAAGACAAAAGTCTACCAGTCCAGGAGCTCATTCTTTTTCTTATTTTCTCAACCAAAGGCATATAATCATTGATTGTCATCCTTCTAGTCAAAAGAGGAAGACCTAAATACCGAACAGGGAGCTTACCAGACGCAAAGGGGAAAGTAGTACGAATCTCTCTCACTTGATTCTCATTCAAACCAGCAGTAAACAAAGTAGATTTCTCCAAGCTGATCTTGAGACCAGAGATAGCTGCAAAATCTTCAAAAATCTTCAGAACATTTTCGATAGACCTTTTAGTACCATCAGTGAAGACCAAAAGATCATCTGCAAAGCAAAGATGGGTAAGCAGAATATTCTGACACTTTGGATGGTAACCAATAAGCCTTCTAGCAGCAGCTTTGTCAAGCAAATGAGAAAGAACATTCATACAGATAACAAACAAATAAGGAGATAGTGCACACCCCTGCCTTAAGCCCCTTTTGCTCTGAAAAAAACCCGCAAGCTCACCATTAACTTGAACCGAGAATGAAGGTGTGCAGATACAAAGCTCAATCCAGTGAACAAACTCCTCAGGAATATTTAAAGCTCTTAAAGTATTCAGCAGAAAAGGCCAGTGAACAGAGTCAAACGCTTTAGCAATGTCAATCTTCATGGCACAGCGAGGAGAAACATCCTCTTTGTGATAATCTTTCACAATTTCAGTGGCTAAAAGGAGATTCTCAACCAGAAGTCTATCCTTAATGAAAGCAGATTGGTTGAAGCTAATGCAACCGGGAAGAGTACCTTTGAGCCTGTTAGCAATGATCTTAGAGATCACTTTATACAACACATTGCAGCAGGAGATAGGCCTATAGTCTCTCATCTCAGTAGCCTTCTCTTTCTTTGCCACCAAAGCTAAAATGGTAGAATTCAGACCTTTCGGGAGGAAACCTTTGGTGAAAAAAGAGAGCACTGCAATCGTGAAATCCTTGCCAATAATCCCCCAAGCAGCTTTAAAAAATTCTGCAGTAAAACCATCAGGCCCTGGAGACTTATTACTCGGCATCTTGAAAAGAACCTCTCTAATTTCATCCTCAGTAACCGGCTTAATCAAAAGAGCTCTTTCATTGCTAGAACACCGGAAAGGCAGAAATTGTTGAAGCTCTTCAACCTCAATACCTTGGACATCAGGAGATTCAAAGGTTAAGAAATCACTAAAAAATCTTTCAGCCTCAGCTTTTATATCCTCCTGAGAAGTGGCTATAACCCCTGATTCACATCGAATTTCCCTTATAGCATTTATAGACCCTCTGATCTTCACAGCATTGTGAAAAGCTTTGTTGTTACCATCCCCCAGCTGAAGCCAATGCAGCTTTGATCTTTGCTTTAACACTTTCTCTTCAATCATAGAGATCTTTTGCCATCTCGCTTCAATCTCCAATTCATCCTGAATATTAGTCAAAGAGGGATCATTCATTAGTCTCTCTTGTTGCTGGCATAGGTCAGAATAAGCCTCCTTGACTTTCATAGACAGTTTTCCCAACTTCTCCTTACTGAGTTTTCTAATCAGAGGTTTAATAGCTTTAAGAAGTTTGGAAAGGCGAAAGAGAGCAGAAGTGGATTGAAAAAGAGGCTGGTGTTCCTTCCAATATCCTTCCACCAACTTAAGGAAGTCCGGCATCTCCGCAACAGCATTAACAAATTTAAAAGGTCTTCTCTTACCCACAGCCTCAGTAGTTAAATGAAACCGACCTCTAAGATGATCCGAACAACCTCCTGCCTCAAAGATTCCATAAGCTCTATCCCACTTTTGCAACCAAACATCATTGACAAGAAACCGATCCAGCTTCTTACAAATAAGCCCCTCCTCACGCTTATTACACCAAGTGAACTTAGGGCCTTGACTACCAAGATCCACCAAATTACAATACTGAACAATGTAATCAAAATCACGCATTCCAGAACTAGTAAATCCCGAGTCTTGATAGCTTGAATGCTCCTTACCATCAAGAATCTCATTGAAATCTCCCATAATAATCCATTGTTTCCCTTTAAACATAGCAGCATCCTGATGATCCTTAATATCACTCCATAACTCCTTCCTATCATCCATTGAGTTTTCACCATACACAAAAGAACAAAAGAATTCCTCTGTTTCCCCCTCAAGCAACACCGAAACAGTAATGATTTGACTTGATTTGAATACAATAGTAAGACAAGTCCGAGAATCCCAAAGAACCCAAATTCTACCTTTGCTATTGTACTCATAGTTATTAATCCAAGACCAATCCTTGAACACCGAAGAAACAATACGATTAGCCTTATTCTCCTTCACTCTAGTTTCCAGTAAACAACCAAACTTCAAACTTTTATTATGAATCCAATCCCTAACCACACCATGTTTTGAACTCTTATTGAAACCCCTTATATTCCAGAAAAACCCAGTCATTGAGAAGGTTTACGAGAGACACTCTTTCCATAGTACCCAGGCACATTTTTCTCAAAAAAGACCTTATGATTAGCTTTCGAAACTCTCGGAAGAGAAGGCCGAATGCTATTAACAATATCAGCTTTTGTAGCTGGTTTGCGCAGAACTTCCTTGCTAGTGACACATTGTGGTGGTGGTGGAGATTTCACCATGTCACAATATGTTGGAGATTTCCCAACAACATCACTGCCCGCAGAATCTCCAACAACACTCACCTTAGTTATGTCCTTGTTGGCTACACTCTTATCATCTTCATCGACCTTAGTAGATTCGCTTTGCTCAATTACAGCAGTATCATTATTGCTCACAGATAATCCAGCCTCAGAATCTTTATTCACCTCAGTGATATCATTCCCAACTTCAAGAACATCCATATTACAACCTTCCATAAACTCCACCTTTTCAACAAGATCATCCGCAGTGCTCTCAAGTAGTCCAACCTCAGAATCTTTATTCACCACAGTGACATCATTTCCAACTTCAAGAACATCCATATTACAACCTTCCATAAACTCCACCTTTTCAACAAGATCATCCTTAGCGCTCTCAAGTAGTCCAACCTCAGAGTCTTTCTTCACCACAGTGATATCAATCTCAGCTTCAAGAATAGCCATATTAAGTTCCGTTTCCTCAACATTCATTTCTGCAGAATCTTTAATTTGAGCAATCACCAAATCCTGCTCCTTAACCATTTCACCATCATCATTTATATCATTAAGAATCAAGAATCTAGATGGTGTTACCAGTTTGGTTTGACCAGAAACAAGCTTTGGACTTCTTTTCTTACCTGAACTAGCATCCGTCCACCCTATTTGGCCTTCCTCAAGCTCATCATTACTCACTTCAACCGAATGTTCTTCAGTACCCCCAAAAGTAGAAGGGCCAATCTCAGAACTACGCACATCAACTATTTGTTTCCCCGCAGCTTTATCATTCTGAGCTAAGCTTCTCTGAATCTGTTCAGACATACCAACACCATCTTTCCCATTCATAACACATGATTTCTCGACATGTCCCCACTTACTACAGGTTTGGCATCTTAAAGGAAGCCAAGGGTAAATAAACTCCACTAAAAACGATTTACCATTCTTTGTGAAATTTATCTTAGTAGGCAACTCCTTGGACAAGTCTGCATTCACAAACACCTTCGCAAGCTTGAAATTGGAGCAAGAAGCAGTTTCAGGGTGTAACCTTACTGGAAATCCTGCAGCACTTGAGATAAAGCTTAATCCTTCCCATGAGAACATATGCACGGGCACATTCTTAAGATGAACCCAAAGAGGAATAGATTGGACTTCCGGCTTCTCTTTTAATTCATCTGGAGTCCATTTAGTAACCACCAATGGAACATTACCTATATTCCACATTCCTCTACGCAGAATCCTTGATCTCATCAGTGGATTTGAGACTTTAAACTTCATTGTTGTAGAGTCTACTGCAAAAACTTCAACCCTTTGATAATTCTCACGCTGCGTCCAGATTTTGTTAACAATGGCATGAACTCTTGCAATATGCGGAGCAGTATCGAGAAATTTACCAATTAAGAAATCCTCCCAAAGATGATTAGCATTCACCAGAACTTCATCTGGAATCTCAACAACTTTTTGGCCTTCCATCACACTTATATCAACTACGTAATTCTTCAGAGCTTTCTTCTCCGTCGCGACCTCAACCCACGATGAACCTTTAACAGGAATCTCCAATCTTAATCCCTCACCTCCGTTCCTGTCAACCAAACCACTTTTCTCTCCATTAGCCACTAACGTTTCCGCAGCTTCCACATCGGCTAGATCTTGATGCTTCATACTCGTGTCCCGCAGATCCCGGACTTCCTTAATCCCCGGATGAGACTCAGGCGAGCCCGGCGGATCCGCCGTAATCATTGGTAAACCTTGATCGCCAATCGCACAATTTTTCGCCCTATTCAAAACGGAGTCGTTTTTCGCCCTTTTTGTGTTTCGTCAGCAAAGTTATTAACACGTGGCTTGTTTACATTGGTTACACTAACCACCTAAGTTTTTTTAATATGGCTTCTTCATCCTTATTCCTCCCCGACTCAACAGAGTAAAAGTAATCGAGTGACGACGGTCAAAGCCGAAACTTCGCAGTCAACATTACCAGAGAGACTCACGAGAAATCGTTGCGGGTACCTTTAACCATCTCTACATTTTGTTTTTTTTTTTTCGCTTTACTGTAATGACTTTGTTCTCGTCTGGAGAAAAATTTTCTGGGTTTTCAAGCTTAGAAGGAAAGATTAGGTTTTTATTTTGTGGGTTTTTCTGGGTTTTGTCTATTCTTTGATTTTTGGTTTTCAATTCAGACCGAAGACAACAAAGTTTGTCGCTTTATCGCTGGATTATTTCTAGGGTTTAATCAGACTATCCCAAATCAATCTGCCATTAAATTAGTAGACTTAATTGAGCTTTATAGTGTCCATGAACTCCACTGATGGAGAAAAGATTAAACTTTTATCTATAGTGTTTGATTATACCCTTTTTACTTATCTTCAGACATGACTTGTTTTGATTTGGTTTGATTGTTTGGTATCTTCTTCCTGAATAGGTTTGGTTTGGATTCTATCTCTTGTGGGAAGTAACAATAAGCACGAATCTAACAATCAACAACATGAACCCTGAGAGTACTCACTCGAAAGTGATCTCACATGTCTTTTTCACCGGTTCTGCCAAGCAAGGCACTCCTGGTCCACCCATTGGTCTTGTCGACATTGGTGAGAGTGAAATTGCTTACCTCTTCAGAGTCTCTCTCCCTGGCATTAACAAAAATCTAAGTAAGCTTTTTCACATGTCTTCTTATCTCCAGTTCAGTAATAACATTGTGGTTTACTGTTGTCTATCTTGTTATTGTTGTAACAGATAAGATCAAGTGTGAGATTCAGAGGGAGGGAAGAGTATGCATACAAGGTGTAGCACCAGAGATTGCGATTCCAAGTGATTCAGGATGCTTGTACAGAATGCAAGTGCAGCAGCTCTGCCCACCAGGTCCTTTCTCCATCACGTTTAACCTTCCGGGACAAGTGGATCCTCGGTTGTTTTCTCCAAAGTTTAGACCTGATGGGATCTTTGAAGTCGTTGTCGTCAAGCTCGGTGTTCGCGTCCCACAGTCCTAATTTGTTCGGTCTAAATCTTTAACTAGGATTTGTTCAAAGTGGTTTTAAAACATGTTCACAATGATCCTATTTGTTAAGATAGTTCTTATTAGACTGAAAATGGTGGTTAAATGTGAAGATGGTTCTGTTTTGAGCAAATTGACTGTTAAGAGTCTCCATTTCAGATCACATGATCCGATCATACATCGTATAAGATCGGCATTTACTCAGTTTTTGTGTAAAAAGCGATAAAAACTATAATAAATCAATCAACAAGGACACGAGTCATAGGATTAAATAATCGTCTATAAGTTCTTAACATTACTCAAGAATTATCAAAATTTCCTCTTTCAAACGTATAAAGAGGCCTATTGCTAGTGGAAATGATAAGATAATTATGACTTTAATTTGTGACATATTTAAAGGGAAAGTTAAGGGGTTAAGAGTAACATAACATTTTAAGAAATTTATATTACTATCTAAAGGATGGGAATTCAAAAAGTTAAATATATTTTTATTCATTTTTCCGAATTCACTCCTCCAAAAACATGGACAAAATTCTTTTCATCAGTTTAACAATAAGAAAAATATTGAAATTATTTTTTTGATAATTAAAGAAATTTTTATTTTAGTAATAAGAATTGTATAATTTTCTTATTAATTTGCAAAAACATATATATTTTGTAGTTCGTACATCAGTCACGATAAATACTTGTTTGGAGATAATTTACATCAGTTCCTTAAACTTTTACGTTCATATTTCACCAGTCACAACCTCCTTTTTTCTTTGTGTTGTGCACGTCGTGAGAAACAGATAGTGGATCAAAGGATTGAGACTATAATCCGATTTAACAGAAACAACAAAAAAAGGTTGCGCAGGTCAACTCTATCAAGGAAGGTGTTGTGTTCCGTGCAGTCAAAATGGCAAATAAAATCTATCGAGGGAGGTGTTTCCCGTGCAGTCAAAATGTCAAATAAAATCTATCGAGGGAGGTGTTTCCCGTGCAGTCAAAATGTCAAATAAAATCTATTGAGGGTGGTGTTGTGTCCCGTGCTGTCAACACACAAAAGCCTATCCAGTGCCTTCTTTCAATAAAAAAACTCGCCGACATTGTTATTGTATAACCTTAAAATTCTGACTCATAAATAAATTAAAAATATAAAATTATTTAAACCATCGGAATGTAATCTTGTAAATTGTTCAAAATAATTTCAAAAAGAGTTTCATAGTGTTTCAAAGATTTATTCTCTTCATATCTGTATATTTATAAAACAACTTAATTGATCACTAGATTTCTAAAAACTCTATTCATATTTTCCAATTCTCCAGCCAGCTCATTAAGTTTTATTTTTATATTTTGAAAAGAGACGTTTCCTACAATTATAATAGAGACAGAGACTTCCATTGTTCTCAGCTTGTGTATCTTTCGAACACCTCTAAAAAGTAAGAAGAAATAAAACCATATCTAAAAAAAAAAAACTAATAAGGTTGACGATGACGGAGTTAAGAGTGTTATCGGCGTTAGATGCGACGAGGGTGCAATTATACCATTTCAAGGCCATAATCATCGCCGGAATGAGTCTCTTCACCGACGCTTACGATCTCTTCTGTATAGCTCCGGTCTTGAAAATGCTCGGCGAAATCTATTACAAGAATGATTCAATCGGAACACTACTTCAATCCATTTTCTACGTCATCGCTCTCCTCGGCGCCGCCTTAGGACAGCTCTTTGTCGGCTACTTAGGCGACCGTCTCGGACGCAGACGAGTCTACGGTATTTGTCTCATGATCATGGTCTTAAGTTCATTTGGCTGTGGTTTCTCTGTCTGCACCACTCGCCGTTCTTGCGTCATGGCGAGTCTTGGCTTCTTTAGATTCGTCTTAGGGCTTGGGATCGGTGGAGATTACCCTCTCTCGGCTACGATCATGTCGGAGTTCGCTAATAAAAAGACACGTGGGGGTTTTATCTCGGCCGTGTTCTCCATGCAGGGGCTAGGAATCTTGATGAGCTCTGCGGTTACAATGGCTGTATGTGCGGCGTTTAAGAACGCCGGAGAGGGTACTTCAGAGAAAACAAGAGCGGAGGAATCGGATATTGCATGGAGGCTGATTCTGATGATGGGTGCTATTCCCGCCGCTTTAACGTTCTACTGGCGAATGCGCATGCCTGAAACCGCCAGGTTCCCTTTAATAATTTTTTCTATATATTGTTTTTGCTTTTTTCGCTCATACATTTACTTATTTCCATTTTCTTAAAAATTATTTCCATATCATATTGTTCATATGCATCATCTTTATACTCTTTATGGCTCTCTTTTTTAAAGAAATTTGATTAGAATTATATTCTAAGCCAATCTCACATATACTACATAAGGTAGGACATAATCTACCATATAGAAGACATCTCAATTGTTCATTGTTGGTAATGGTTATAAGTTACATTTTAATGAGCTTTGACATAATACTTTTTTTTGGTGCAACTTTGACATGATACTTTTTCGTAAATTAGTTGAATAAAAACATACTAAATAATGTATATATGTTTATCTCGGAATAAATTATGTATGTTGCTACGTAACGTCTGACTAATATAAAAATAAATGATAATTTAGATGATTTACAAATACAAGTAATAGATCTTTACTAAACTTTCAATATTTTCTACTAAATAATCAAATCAATAATTCAATCACTAAAATTTTAAAGTTGCATGCAGATATACAGCATTAGTTGAGAACAATGCTTTCCAAGCAGAAAAAGACATGCAAAAAGTCATGTCCATATACCAAGTATCTCAAGTAGCTGAAGATTCATCATCGGAGACACCACACCCACCACCACCACCGTCTACTTCTTCTCACTCCTCCTACAAACTGTTCTCTCGACGTTTCTTCAGCCTCCACGGCCGTGACCTATTCGCAGCCTCAGCCAATTGGTTCCTAGTGGACGTAGTCTTCTACACAAGCAACCTCCTCCTCACTCAAATCGTCAACTTATCCGACAAACCTGCCAATATGACAAATGTCTACGACTCCGCCTTCGAAGCAGCTAAGGTCGCAGCCATCGTAGCCGCGTGCTCCACCATCCCTGGTTACTGGTTCACCGTTTATTTCATCGATAGAGTCGGTCGAGTCAAGATTCAGATAATGGGGTTTTTCTTTATGGCTGCTGTCTTCTTAGCCGCTGGCATTCCGTACAGTTGGTTTAGGTCTGAGAACAATAAGACCAATAATAAAGGCTTTATGGTTCTTTATGGATTCATCTTCTTCTTTAGTAATTTTGGGCCCAATACGACAACGTTTATAACCCCAGCTGAGCTTTTTCCAGCAAGGTTTAGGTCAACTTGTCATGGTATTTCCGGAGCTGCAGGGAAGCTTGGAGCTATTGTTGGGACTGCTGGTTTCTTGTGGGGCACGAGACGCGATGAAGAGCACAAAGAGGACGTTTTCCCAGATGTGAAACGCGTTAGGATCGCATTTTTTATCCTTGGCGGCGTTTGTATAGCTGGAATGTTTGTGACGTATTTCTTCACACGTGAAACTATGGGAAGATCGTTAGAAGAGAACGAAGAGGAAGAGATTGATAGCAAGGATTTTGTTTGCTAATGAGTTAGTTACTTGCAAGACGACTATGACTTTGATATCACGTAATACAATCAATCATCTTTTGATATTTCCTCTCTAATTTTCTTTGGTTTTATGGTTTAATACTCACATTCTCATGTTACTCGAACTTTTACTTTAAGTTGTGGGAAGGGGTATGCAAATGTCAAAGCTTGATCATCATTTTAGTTATTCAATTTTTGACATCCTATTTGTTTTGTTTTGTTTTGAATGGAGGTAAAATTTTATACATCTAATTTTGTACAACATTTGTAACATTGTTAAAAAGAAGTTTTCAAAATCTTCAAACACCTCAAAAAGAATGATAAGAAAGTTAATTTTGAGGCTATGTGTTATTAAAACCAATGCAGCTCTAAAGGTGTGCTCGTAGTGCAAATGCATGTACATCGCCCCATATCTTTTGTTCAATTTTGAAAATCTTATAAATTAAGGGTCAAAATTTTAAATTAACTCATCACTGTAAGGAAAGAAAAAAAAAAGCACATGGACCATTAATCTTGTAAACCAGCCTGATTAAAACATGATTAAATGTGAATATCACTTACTTTTTGTTGGGAAAAAAGTCATCTCATTGTTCCTCTTCATCCTCATAAAACCTTGTTTTCCGAAATTTGGTCACCAAGACTTCTTCACTATAACGTAATGCATGCAGTACTTGCTTGATCCGTACCCACCGCAGCTACACCGTGATCAGGCTCGCCCCTCACGGCCCATTAAACACACCCTTCACATAACCAAGACAATGATACTAAACATCAAGAAAGAGTATTCATTCTTTCAAATTGATTACTGATTTCTTGAATACTGTAAAGGGTTACTGATTTCTTGAATATTGTTAAGTGTGTGTTTCATTCATTGGGAAGCAGCCCCATAGGAAAGCCCATATATACAACTTAGAACATATTTATTCAACATGTCATGGAAAACGAAGAAGGAAAGGCTAAAACAATCGTCATATGTTAAATAACACCACATCAAAACACATGAGAAAAAAACAAATGTAGAAACATATAGGCTCCCGTCACATGCGCATGATGCCTCTATTTACATTTTCACATGAGTTGCATATATTGGCTAAATTATCAAATGTTTCTTACTCTAACAACATCCACATCATTGAAAGACTTGAAAGAGTTTCCATATAAAATAAAAAAACAATTGTAATTACATAGATGACTAGATGTTGTAGAAATATAACGCATGTCATCTTGGTCTCTCAGGATTTAGAGATAATTTTTCGTAGGTAGATCTGGGTGTTCGGTATAATGGTCAGGTTCGGTTCAACTAATTCAGATTTTTGGATTTTTGGTACTATTTTCATGGGTTTCATTAGGATTTTATTTAGATTATATTCAGTTTGTTTTTTTATTCTTTGGTTCAGTTGTCATAACCAATGTTTAAGATCATCCAAAAAAATATTTTTTAATTACTGAAATTTTCTTGAATTTAATATCATATTAACTTAAATTATATAAAAAGGTGAATTAAAATACCAAAAGAAAATCATAAAGTTACAAATATATATACAAAGAAAAAATCTCCTTTTGTTGTGCCCATCGTGAGAACAAAAGTGAAAAGGTTAGTGGAAGTCAACTAAAGGAAGTGGACTCGATCGAGGGGAAGGTGTTCTGTTCCTCACAGTCAAAACAAAAGCATATTCCATGGTGACTTCTTTGAACAAGAAACTCTTCAGACAATATAATGAAGAGACAGAGATTTCTATTGTTCTCAGTTTGTGTATCCACGAACTCCACAAAACCTAATAATAATTATAAAAAAAAAACAACTCTTCTTTTAAACAATAAAGTCCATCAACGATGCCGGCGCTAAAAGTGTTATCGGCGTTAGATGTGGCGAGGATACAGTGGTACCATTTCAAGGCGATAATCGTCGCCGGAATGGGTCTCTTCACCGACGCTTACGATCTCTTCTGTATAGCTCCGATCATGAAAATGATCGGCCAAATCTATTACCACAAAGACTCTATAGGAACCGCTGTTCTCTCCACTTCTTACGCCATCGCTCTCCTTGGCACCGCCTTAGGTCAGCTCATCTTCGGCTACTTAGGCGACCGTGTCGGTCGTCGAAAAGTCTACGGTCTTTGTCTCATGATCATGGTCTTAAGCTCCTTTGGCTGCGGTTTCTCCGTGTGTACCACTCGCCGTTCTTGCGTTATAGCGAGTCTTGGCTTCTTTAGATTCGTCCTAGGGCTAGGGATCGGTGGAGACTACCCTCTCTCGGCCACGATCATGTCTGAGTTTGCTAATAAAAGGACACGTGGGGCTTTTATCGCCGCCGTGTTCTCCATGCAGGGGCTAGGAATCTTGATGAGCTCAGCCGTTACGATGGCTGTGTGTGAGGCGTTTAAGAGGGCAGGAGAAGAGAGTTTGGAGAAAATGAGAGCGGCGGGGATGGAGACTTTGGCTCCGTGGGAATCTGATATTGCGTGGAGGTTGATTCTGATGATCGGTGCTCTTCCCGCCGCTTTAACGTTTTACTGGCGAATGCTTATGCCTGAAACCGCCAGGTTCTGTCTGATTTCTTCTACAAGTTTTTTTGTTTATTTTTTCAGAAATTTAATTATTTCCGCCGTAAAAGAAAAATACAAATTATTTTTTTCGTATTTTATAGCTTATCACATCTCTTTCATTTATGTCTCTCTCAATTTTTTTTCTTTCTTTTTTTTGGCCGTGATCCTTTTAAATTTTAATTACTATTCTGTCTTTTTCACTGATTTCTATCTACTATTATATCACCGTAATCTGATTATATTATATGCACTATCTTGTGTGACTTTTCTTCCTAGCTACCCCACATACAAAAATGTTTCTACGTTATTAAAGTCTTAACCATTAGCATAAAATAACCGCGAGAGAGAGATCAACTATATTTAAACAACTCTTTTACACGGTAACAATTGTCACTAGCTGTTAATTACTTGGTTACAAACTAGATCATTAATTCGCTTTTCATGCGAACAGTATTCTTAAATACTGTATCTTATAGTTATGCAATAGGATATCCTGCTTGACTTTGTTTGCGTTTATCCCTTGGAAATTTTCAGATTTTTGATGACACTACAATGTATAAAGTTACAATTAAATCATTAAAAAGTTTAGTCGTGTGTTTAGCAAAAGTTCCACCCACATTTCCGTACCAAATAATGTTGGAGAACCTGAAACTTGTGTGAGAGAAGAGTTCATGAAATTTAACATAAATTTGATCTGATTTTATTCCGATGATAAACATAAAATAATATTAATGTGGGATCATTAGTGATCATGTAAACTGTAAAGAGTGGGAACTTCGTGGGTTGTTCCTAGGAATTAAGTTGACTTGCGGAGAGATATACCGAACACAGTGGTATATACCTTTTAAGCGACCTATCATGATAACGTATCCACATAGTATACTCATTTTAATATGTATAATATGTGGTTTTAGTATGCATTGATTGTATTGATTATTCGCCCCAGGTGTAAGCTCCAGCTAAGAATTAGAGTTCTATTCCATTATAACTAGTTTAATAACTTCCATAATATATGTACTCTCTTCCTATCAAGTGGTTCCACTATGATTATCTTTGCTTTCATAATTAAAGTGGAATAAATTGATCGTCCGCCTTCTGTGAGCTATACTGGATTACAAGTTCTTTAGTTTATATAGTTGCGATATCTATCTCTAATAAACCTAATATTATTCAACTGACTGAAGTTTAAGTAACTATAGTAAATATTGATAACACCAAAGTCTAATTAGAATAACTAAATAATGTGTAAGCAATCTGTTGGGGGTTCTAAAACTAACGTCTAAACCTAACCATTATTGTTCATTTTACACTTATAATACAAAGTTTACATATATTTAGCCCTTCTCAAAAAAAAAAAGTTTACATATATTGCATTGCAAATACTCATCAATAATACTCTTCACTTAATTATTAGAAAATAAAAGGCTTTCAATATGTCATGATACCATATGAGCGGAGGCAGAGGAAACTTTTGTTGGGGGCGTTACTAGAGTTGGTCAAAACATTAAGGATTAAATTGCTAAAACCAAAGGAGCATAGCTGAAATTATTCAAAGCTTTACATGCACTTTTTAAAACTATAAGGGGCTGATGCCCACTCCCTCTTGTGCAATGTGGCTCAGTAGTACCACCGATAGCAATACTAATTTAGAGCACCTCCAACGAGAGTTCTTAGGGAGAAGTACTTAAAAAAAAAAAATTAAATTATTAGTAGATTTCATAAAAAATTAAGAATTTGATCCTTAAAATTTCTAAATAAAGACTGTTTCTTATCGAATTCTTACACTATTTACGGGTTCCCGAGATACGTGACAACCTGCAAAGTGCAAATGATCATTTTTTATTTTCTTTTTTACAAAAAAAATCCGAAATATCTTTACCAAATCCGAAATACTTTTTTCTTGATGAATTTCACGATTGCGGATGCTCTTAAGGACTCTCTTCCACTTCATACTGAACATGCAGTCTACACCCATTCATCAAAATCCACATGACCTTAAGATCTCACAAAAAAAAGTTTCACTTCCATCAAACTTAATCATCTAAGTTGAAGATTTTTTGGTTATTAACTTATCATGCAAACTTGTCGGATACCTGATTTTGCCACACCATTGTTAAGCTTTTCATGTCCAACTCTTCCATTAGTATAATATTATCTATTTAGAATCTATATAAATTTATTTTTCTTATACTCCTTACAAAGTAAACAGGAGTTATACACGCATTATTATATATTAAACAGTATTTGTCTAATTTTTTAATGTAAAATTTGAATTGTTTATTGCAACACAATTTTACACAAAACTACAAACTGGAACATAATATACACTGTATATATACATATATAAAAGAGAGGTGCCATTTCGTCATTGTCAATAGTGGTTTTAAGTTACAATGCAACGAGCTTTGATTTAATACTCTCCCTCTTTATTTTTTTTTTTGTAAATTATTTGAAATAAGAAATACTATAATAGTTTACTAGATCATAACCCGCTCGACTGGGCGGGTCTTTGTTTTTATGGTATATATAACATTTCAAAATTATAATTTAAAGGTGTCAATTTTACTAAGTAATAGTATATTATTTAAATATTGTATTTCATTATTGTATTGTGTAACAGGGGCGTCTTAAAATATTGTGACCCGTAAACATTTTAGTAATATTTTAAAAAGTTTTTTGACTAAATTTGGTGTAAAGTTATATACACTAAATAATTTAGTCAAATTTTTAATTTAATTTTTAATGAAGAATTGGAAGGCTAGTATATCACTGTTAAAAATTTATAAGAATAGTCAATATAAATTATATAAATAAAATATATATTATTCTTGATTTATTCTAGATACATTTAAAACATGAATACATATATGTATAAATAATTTTTAGAAGTAAAGTAATATCAATGATAGAAAATCCAAAAAAAAAAATAATGGTAGCTTGGGTCGCAGTAATCTTTAGTATAATAAATAAGCACATTAAATTTGTATGATATCTATGTTTTCAATCAAAATTTTAAAATTTTCTTATTTATGTTTCCAAACACTTTATTTTTGTACTTTAGCTTTAATAGTATAGATATGTTTATCTAAAAAAATTCTGTATGTTCCTACGTAAGTTCTACAAAAGTTTGAATATATATTTTAACCTCACATTGACCCTCTCCATTAACTAAAGTAATAACTTTGAGATGATTTACATTGAATTTTGAGTAATAGATCTTTATTAAATTTTTTCTTTTTCAATATTTCTGCTAAATAATCAAACTAGTGGTTCAGTTCCTAAAATTCTAAAGATGCATGCAGATACACAGCATTAGTTGAGAACAATGCAATCCAAGCAGCAAAAGACATGCAAATGGTCATGTCCGAGTCCATATTATCTGAAATTGCAGAAGATTTATCATCGGAGACACCACAACAACCACCGTCTTCTTCCTCCTACAAACTCTTCTCTCGCCGTTTCTTCAGCCTCCACGGTCGTGACCTCTTCGCAGCCTCCGCCAATTGGTTCTTAGTGGACGTCGTCTTCTACACAAGCAACCTCCTCCTCTCTCAAATATTCACCTTCTCCAACAAACCACCCAATACCACAAACGTCTACGACTCTGCCTTCGAGGTGGCTAAGGTGGCAGCCATAGTAGCCGCGTGCTCCACCATTCCCGGCTACTGGTTCACCGTTTATTTCATCGATAGAGTTGGTCGAGTCAAGATTCAGATAATGGGCTTTTTCCTTATGGCCCTTGTTTACTTAGCAGCTGGCATTCCGTACAGCTGGTACTGGTCTAAGCATGAGAAGACTAATAAAGGTTTCATGGTTCTCTATGGATTGATCTTCTTCTTTAGCAACTTTGGACCTAATACAACGACGTTTATAATCCCAGCTGAGCTTTTTCCGACAAGGTTTAGGTCCACGTGCCATGGGATTTCTGGAGCTGCCGGGAAACTTGGAGCAATTGTTGGGACTGTTGGTTTCTTGTGGGCCACAAAACACGAGGATGAGGCCAAGGAGGACATTTTCCCAGACGTTAAACGCGTGAGGATCGCGTTTTTGATACTAGGCGGTGTTTGTATCACTGGTGTGTTGGTAACGTATTTCTTCACTCGTGAAACTATGGGAAGATCGCTAGAAGAGAACGAAGAGGATGAGATTGGTACCTCTTCAGCACCTGGATCAGCTTCTGCTAATGAGTTACTTCCAAGACAATAGTGATTTTGATATCACAACATAATCAATCATCTTTTGATATTTCTTCTCCAATTTTCCTTGGTGTTTGATGTTTGATACTCACATACTCTTGTTTACTCGATTTTTTTGTCTCTTCTGTTTCACTTTTTGGCGTATGTAATTGTCAAACCTTGATCGTCATTTTATTCAACTTTTTGACTAACCCAGTTTAGAAACAAAATAAAGTTAAAGTTGAGGATATATATGTCACATTAAAATGATTAAATATGAATATCATAGCCAGCAGTTTTTCGTTTAATTTCTTGTTAGTCTCATGGATGTGTTTTAGGTTGCCTTATGATCTTTGGGTGCGTAATCGTGATCAACGATTGTGAGGGAGAGAGAGACGCAGCGGATAAAGCAAGAGCAAAATAAGTCTCTGAATCTAGGGATTAATAAAGCTAGTCGATCATGTTGGGTAAATTATTTTGAATCTGAATATTTAATGAAGACCTAGTCTTTAAGCTTAGTTATGCTTCCCCTATGTATGCTAATAGTGTCTATGTTTCGTTGATAGGCTAACAAGACCCACAGTTTAAGTCCATTTGAGTACATATACAAAACGCAGACAATATTTTTCAATCCATAGTAATGTAATTGATTGGCCAGTGTTTTCGCTATAGCCTTGCTCAATCGTCAGAAATTTTCCGAGAACCATGATATATGTCGTAAATTCGTAATCTTGTAGTCGATATATAGACGATGCAAAACGGGGAACATAAAAACAAAAATAGTTGTCAGTGTTAAATAATAACATAGCATCAAAACACAAGAGAAAAAATACAGCAAACGTGGAAACACTATATCTCTCTCCCCCTACCCTATATGCCTGCAACAAACGTGCGCGCTGTGCCTCTCTCTACATAGTCACATTCCAGTTACATCGTTTTCTCCTGTGAATATATATAGAGAGCGATAGACTATTTAAAGAGTGTTTCCACGTTTGCTGTAGACTCTCTCTCTACTCTGTCTACATCTTCACATTCAATATATATATATATCAGTCATGAAGAACACAGGAGTCATATCATTAAATAATCATCTATAATTTTTTAACATGACTCAAACTCATCAAACCCCTCTTTCGAAGTACCCAAAATGAAGAGGCCTAGTCGAAATACTAACAAAAAATAAATTAAAGTAACATAATATTCTTGATATTTATACCATTTAAAATAAATTTATAATATTCCTTCCTTAATTTATTTTAATTCCATTTCCTCTATAAAGTTATATGAAAACGATGCTCTAAACAAAACAACATTGTGTGTTGTGCACGTTGTGAGAACACAAGGTTTTGTATCTTTTAAGACTTAAGAAATGATAACTTGCCGATTTTATAAAAACAAAACGTTGTGGAAGTCAACTAAAATGAAGTTCACTCTATCGAGGGAGGTGTTGCGCTTCATGAAAGTCAAATACAAAAGCATATTCCATGACATCTTTCAAGAAGAAACTCTCCCGACATTATAATAAAGAACAGAGACTTCCATTGCTCATTGCTCTCAGTTTGTGTATCCTCGGACAAGAAAACAAAACTTTTTAACCTAAAAAAAAAAAAAGAAAAGAAAACCTAATTTTATTTTAAACAAAAAACAACGATGCCGGCGCCAAGAGTGTTATCAGCGTTAGACGTGGCGAGGATACAGTTGTACCATTTCAAGGCCATAATCATCGCCGGAATGAGTCTCTTCACCGACGCTTATGATCTCTTCTGTATAGCTCCGGTCTTGAAAATGCTCGGTGAAATATATTATCACGAAGATTCAATCGGAACACCTATTCTCTCCATATTTTACGCCATCGCTCTCCTCGGCGCCGCCTTAGGTCAGCTCTTAGTCGGCTACTTAGGCGACCGTCTTGGACGCAGACGTGTCTACGGTCTATGTCTCATGATCATGATCTTAAGCTCCTTTGGCTGCGGATTCTCTGTCTGCACGAGTCGCCGTTCTTGCGTCATGGCCAGTCTTGGCTTCTTTAGATTCATCCTAGGGCTCGGGATCGGTGGAGATTACCCTCTTTCGGCCACGATCATGTCCGAGTTTGCTAATAAAAAGACACGTGGGACTTTTATCTCGGCCGTCTTCTCCATGCAAGGGCTAGGAATCTTGATGAGCTCCACCGTTACCATGGCTGTATGTGCGGCGTTTAAGAGCGCCGGCAAAGTTACTAGTTCAGAGAAAACGAGAGCTGCGGAAGCGGATATTGCGTGGAGGTTGATTCTGATGATCGGTGCTATTCCCGCCGCTTTGACGTTCTACTGGCGAATGCGTATGCCTGAAACAGCCAGGTTCCGTTCGATAATCTATTCTATATTTTAAAATTATTTTCCGCAGTAAAAGCAAAAATAATAATTAAGTTGTGAGTCGTGGAGCGATCTGTTAGAGGCAGATTAGCTTGACTTTGTTTGCGATTAATTTATCCCAAACAATATTTGGAAAATTCGTTTAGTTTTTAATACCATCATAATGTATAGAACAACAAATTAAATCATTAGAAAGTTTAGTTGTGTGTGTTAACTGTTAAGCAAAAGTTCTACCCACGTGAAATTCAAACTTGTGTGAGAGAAGAATTTATGAAATTTAAGCAAAATAGTACATTAATGTGTGATAATGTAAAGAGTGGGAACTTTGTTGTTCTGTTCGCACGAAGCAAGTTTACTTATAAGTAGGGAATGCTAATAATTATTAATACACGGAAAATTTTAAATCTGAAACTTCACCTAATTTTACCTTTTAGAGTTTAAGGTATTCATAAATTTGTTTTGTTTTTTTTTCCATAAATTTGTTAGTTAAACTAGTATTTTAAAATAATTTATAACGAAAATTTACTATATTTTTGTCAACTAACAAAATACTCTTTTATTTAAAAATATGATTGCATATTTAACAAAAAATTATAATTTTATTTTTGGTGAAAATGTGAAATCTTGTTTTGCGTTGAAATGTAAAAATATTTATCATAAAACAAATTCACTAAAAAAATCTCACGATAAAGTATGCACGTAGAGTTCTCATTTTAAAATGTATAATATTTTTTTTTTGTCAAATGTATATATATTTTTATTCTTCTCAGGTATATGCTCCAGCTAAGAAATAATTTTTGTTTTATTATAACAATTGTTAGTCTCTCCAACTAATATATGTAATCTCTTCCTCTCAAAGTCTTCCACTTTGAGTATCCACTTTGATTATCTATGCTTTTAACTAATAAAGTCGATTGGTCGTTTAACTAAGGCCTTGATTGGTATGGCAGATGATAAAGCATTAGCAGTATATTGTAGAAGTAGTATGTTGCAGAAGATGTATGCTTTCAGTAAAAAATTTCAATAAAGTGATTGGTAAAGCAGTAGCAGTATACAATTTTAAAATTATCATAATAGATATTTATATTTTTATAATATATATTTATAATATATAGTAATAATATATTTGTTATTAAAAATAATTAATCTTATTCATTATATAAATTATATTATAGTTTATATGTTAAATATTATGATTTAAAAATGTATTTTTTTAAAAAAAAATATTAAATTATTTTTGGATATAAAAATATTTAATTTTATTAAATAAATAAATAAATTAGATTTAATTTATATATAAATTATTATTATTTTTTATTGATAGAGCAGTAAATGATTCATATATAAAATTATCAGAAATTAATATATGTTAGATAATTGATTTATTAGTGTCTAAACAATATATATGTTTATATTTATATATTAAATATATATTATGTTATGTTTGTTATTAAAAATAATGAACGATATATGTAATTATATAAATTATATTATATTTTAAATGTGAAATATTATTCTTTTAAATAATTTAAAAATAATTTATTAATTTTATTTTAATTTTAAAAAATACAAATTTATTTTTATTATAAAAATATTTTTGTTTCATTAAACCGAAATAAATTAATTATATATAATTATTTTTTAAAATTTTATATATTGTAACTGCAAATGCTCTACCAAAAGCTCCATTGAAGAGCATTGAGCAAATAGCATTTGGAGAGCATTAGCATTTGATAAATGCTTTTCCAAATACTTTTTTGACAAATATTGATTCGATAATAAATAGCATTATGCATTTATGCTTATGCTAATCTACCAATCAAGCCCTAATTGTTTAGTTTATATAGCTGCGTATCTTCACTAATAATAAACCTCGCCTGTTTCGACGGACTAAAGTTTAAGTGAATAACTAACTATACATTGTTGATATTGGTAGATAGATTTTAATTAGGTTTGACATCATACCCTCTCTCCCGTCTCCACTAACTAAAAATGATAAATTTTAGATGATGTTACAATGAATTACGAGTGATAGATCTTTCCTAATTTTCTTTTTTTCAATTTTTCTACTAAATAATCAGATCAATACGCCAATCACTAAAAATATTAAGATGCATGCAGGTATACAGCATTAGTTGAGAACGATGCTCTCAAAGCAGAAAAAGACATGCAAAAAGTCTTGTCCATATCCAAACCATCTGAACTCGAAGAAAATTTACCGCAACCACCACCGTCTTCTTCTTCTACCTCGTCCTACAAACTCTTCTCTCGCCGTTTCTTCAGCCTCCACGGCCGTGACCTATTCGCAGCCTCAGCCAATTGGTTCCTAGTGGACGTGGTCTTCTACACAAGCAACCTCCTCCTCTCCCAAATCCTCAATTTATCCAACAAACCTACCAGTTCCACAAATGTCTACGACACTGCCTTCGAAGTGGCTAAGGTCGCAGCTATCGTGGCCGTGTGCTCCACCATCCCTGGTTACTGGTTCACGGTTTATTTCATCGATAGGGTTGGTCGAGTCAAGATTCAAATAATGGGTTTTTTCTGTATGGCCGTTGTTTACTTAGCCGCTGGCATTCCGTACAGTTGGTATCAGTCTGATCATAATAAAAAGTCTAGTAATAAAGTCTTTGTTATTATGTACGGACTAATATTCTTCTTTAGCAACTTTGGTCCTAATACGACAACGTTTATAATCCCTGCTGAGCTTTTTCCGACGAGGTTTAGGTCAACGTGCCATGGGATTTCGGGAGCTTCCGGTAAGCTTGGAGCTATTGTTGGAACTGTTGGTTTCTTGTGGGGCACCAAACGCGACGAAGAGCACAAAGACATTTTCCCTGACGTTAAACGTGTGAGGATCGCGTTTATTATCCTTGGAGGCGTTTGTATTGCTGGAGTGTTGGTGACGTACTTCTTCACGCGTGAAACTATGGGAAGATCGTTAGAAGAGAACGAAGAGGACGATTTTTGTACCTCGTCAGCGCCAGATTCACCGTCTGCTAGTGAGATAACTTCAGTCACAACACAAGCAATCGTCTTTTGATATTTCGTCTCTTATTTTATTTGGTCTTTCATGTTTGATATTCACTTTCTCATGCTTACTCGAATCTTTTCTTCTTTTTCACTTGTTAATTCGGTGCAAGTGGTATGTAAAAACGCCAAAGCTTGATCATCCGTTTATTCATTTTTTCAACTTACCCGGATTAGAAACAAAAAGTTAAAATTGTGGATATGTGATGTATATGTATAAAACCTATTAAATATGAATATTTTTTTAAGTTTGGTTGATAAAGAAGCCATTTCGTTGATTCTACGTATACCTTGTAGCTTACCAGTGTTCCTCTCCATTCTAATAAAACATTCTCTCCTCACTTTGGTCCCGAAAATTTGTTCACTATGAAGTAATCCATGCCCTTGCTTAATCCGTACGCAACAGTTGCTACAGTGTGATCGAGCTCGTCCCCGCCACTGCCTGCGCTGCCCTTTACATAACCAAGACAATAATACTCAAAGGTATAGTCCATAACACTATCACGTACCACCCATTAATTGTTATATGTTGCATCTCAGTCTAGGGAAGATATCGATAGTGTCATTTTGTGGGTTCCAAGCTCTGTAATTCATTGGTCTGTTTTTATAATAAGTATATCTGAATTTAAGGATTAGTAAATTAATCAGATCATCTAACGTAAAAGGGTGAATCAGTTTAAATCTGAAAAAAAAAATGAAGACCTAGTCTTTAAGCTTAGTTATATTTCGGCTATGTAAGTTATTATTTTTCTGTTTCAGCGAGGTAGGTTTCGTTGATTGTGAAACAAGGCCCATAGTTAGCCTATTAAAACCCATATACAAAACGCAGCATAATTCACATTCGAGGTACATATAAACTTGGAAACATTATACAACAAACTTGGAAACACTCTACCCTACGCTGGCTAGCTACGTCACGTGCGTCCTGTGCCTCGCTCAGTCGCTCTAACATAATTCACATTCGAGTTACATATATTTGCTAATTTCTCGCACTCGCATTATCCTTTTAGTACCATTTCTATTAGTCATATTCAAATACTCCACTACTTGCCTATATATACGTTCATCATATATTAGGTTTAGACATCATCCTTCCAAAACAATTATTCTTACCAAATATCTTCTTAAGTTGATCTTCTGTTGCATTGTATTAGGATATCCATTATCTTATATTCTTATTAAACAGTTTGATATCTCTCACCTGTGGGATCTTATTCACATGGTTTGGTATACAATACATAGTCATACTAACTAGAGTTACTATACAAGTATATAGATACTATATAATTATATATGCATGGACAGTTTAATTATTGGTCCCCCTAGTTTGCAACTTCTCGCTCATATTTATGAAGGCTTCGTCTGTCTCAATATCCGCAAGACCTTTCACATTTAATTCCCATCTACTGTACGGACGTCGTTCAGTGTCCTATTAGCATTCACAACCCCATATTGGCATAAAATTATCATTAAACTGGACCAAAATTATACATTAACCCAAAAAGGTATCATACATATATCATATACAAATAAAAATATATCCACCATATCTCTCTTGTAGGGCATTATAATCAATACTCTAAGAATGAGACTACTCGCGTGCTGATATTTTAGATATTATATGGATAGGCTATGATTGTTAGGCCAAGATGAAGGATGCGATGAATATTATATTTGTAAGTTTTTATCAATCACATAACGATTTATGTTCAGTAAGTAAAGTTTTAATATTTCAAATGTCTTTAATTATAATCGAAATAACTAACATTTACTGGATATCCTAGGTTCTACCTGAATAATTATAAAATAAAAATGAGGTTTTGGATAAAAGTAAAACCAACATTTTATCTCGTAGAATTTATGAAAAGAGGATTGCTTGTGAAGAAAAATGAGTGAGAGGTCGTTCTCTGGTGGAGCAGGTCGGTGCTGCCATTGTCCTTTCCTCTTCCTCCTTCATTTATTATCTCCCCACCTTCTACTACCTCTTCTTATTCTTTTCTTTTTATTTTTCTTAAGATTCAGTGATAGAGAGTGACTTATTTGTTAAAGTTGATTTGAATTTTATGTGAATTAAAAGAAACAAGAGTGCCATGCACTATGATTTTAGGAGGTGTAACTGATATTTTTATCCTAATCGCAGTTAATATTTTCAGAACTTGATATATTTTGCAACTTGACAGGAGTGTTTTTACTATAAACTTCTTTATGTTGAGTTAAATACAGACATATATTAAATACAAACAGACAAAGACGAGGAATGGACCCCTTTTGTCATTTGATTGACACATACTATAAGAGAGATGTGACAAACAGTCTTCTATTTTCATTTTTGTGATTTTTGTTTCACCTAATATCTCAAAGTTTAATGTCAGGTAAGCTTTATACGAAATTACTAGCACAGTAATTTGAACAAAGTGGACAATAATTTTTCTACATTATTTCTGTTACACAGTGACCAGTGCCATTTCTGCTTGTAAAGTGGTTTAACTTCAATTATGTATTTTCGAAAACAAGATAAATCAAATAGTGTTGCTGAAATGACGTAAAGCAATAATAAGATTTGAAAAGTATGTATTCCTTATGGTTTTAACTGCTAATTGATGTTCTGCCAAGTTTAATAATAATGTTATACTAGCATACACATTAATGTAAATATCAAATAAGTGAAGGTTTTACTTTTTTGACAGAGCCAATAATATTGTTCGTGATGCATAGGAACAACACCATAAATTAGTAGACCGACGGTATCACTTGGGCAATAATAAGTGCAACTAGGAAAAATAACAATTTTGAGAAGAAGAAAAAAAGAGAGAGAAATATCATCAGAGCTAGAGAGATAGACCCCCTGAAAAAAGATAACTTATATTTTAAAAAGTACATAAACTATATACTAAGCTTTTATAATGGATAGGCTTAGGTAAGCCTACGCACGTACAGCAGGTTTTGAATTATTGGTTGAAACTTGAAACACTTGCTCAATGTCTAAATTTTATTTTTACAAATCAGTTACAAATATATAATAATTATAGGGTTGTGTAGGGTTTAGGGTAAAAGACAAACTTGGGAGATTTATCATAAGATCGTGTGGGCAGTTAAATATTTAGTGGGATAGATAGCGTAGTACGTTTTGCATTTATTACAGTTTTACCTGATTTTATATCATTTCTTTGCTCGTGTCACCGCCGACATCTGATATCATCAACTATTTTGTTTCGTTTTTTGTTTATAATTAAATAATTTACTATTTGATATAAACTCAATAAACTTGCTCCCAATTTATTTGTGTCACCAAATGAAACATAGAAAGCCTAATGGTTGCTCTAAGTGTGTTGAGCTGAGTTAAACCTATCAAATTTTGACTCAAATTTTTAACTGGATATATATATTAAAAATAGTAACATATCTATTCTATTAAATTAAGAATATGACTTATTGATATATGTTTAGTTCAAACAATAATTATCATTTTTCTACATATATATCTATTATGAATATTGATATATGTTATAACCTTTTTATTAATTCCTAGATTTTCGGGACTCATAACTTTCATTCATTTTTTTACAACTAATCTAATATGTACAATGTATAGTTACATAAAATTTCGAAAGTGTGAAATCAAATTCTCGAACCATAATACTTTTTGAAGCAATTGAACTATAAAGTTAATTGTCTCAATACATCTTCTCTATAAATATAAGTTGTGTAAGGATTTCATAAATGAGTTTTCAAAAGCTTGCAATCATTTTAACATGTTTGATTAATTACACTCAGAAAATATTAAAACAAAAAATTAAATTATATAAGTAGATTCTGAATGGCATTTTTGATAGGTTATATTGATATTAAATAGACTTATTTGATATAACACTAACCAATCATTTGACGTAAATATAATTTATAAAAAAAAAAATTCAGATCAATATATACTATTTGAAGAAATTAGAAAATCTTTAAAAAAAATTATAACAAAAAATATACCCGACGGATCAAATCTAGTTCCTTCTTAAAAAAACTTAACATTTTTTATTTTGATTAGTTTTGGTAAGCTATATTCCCAATAGTTTACCAAAACTATCTTTACTTTTATGTTGATACTCATCAAATTTTTTTTTCTGTTTAAAATATCTAAACTTGAGAGTTCATTTAGATAAACTAAATCATTCTTCTATTAAGGGGACGAGTACAAAATCAAACAAACCCATTTAAAATTACATAACTGATTTAACAGTTGATCAGAAATAGGACTATTATAAAAGTAAGTGGTTAAAGAAAAAAATGGAAATGGAAGTTGGGATCTCAGGGAGAATGTGTATAAAATAATCAATAAACAGGTCTGACTTCATGAATGTATAATGATATGCTTACACCCGCACGCATAAACCTCTGCCATCTTTACTGCACACTCTTTTCCTCTTTCTTCTTAAAAGTAAAATCTATTTGCTTTCATTTTGGTGATAACCACATATACAAACTTCTTTAATGACATTCCTTGAAATCTGAAAACTTCAACTGGGATAACAACGATTTTCGCTAGAGAAAGCGGATTGGTATATGATAACCTTATCACCACTTCATCACTGTATCGCTAAGCGTAACGGTTTAAATCTGCACATTTCAAAAGAATTGAATGATTTCAGTGGAAAATATCTGATCATGTGCTTTTGATATTTCATGGATAGCTAAATCATTTGATGATGTTACAAAATATAAAAACTAAACCTTTTGGTGTATGGGATAAACCTTATTTTTAGTTAACCGGGTTAGGATTAACTTTAAGAGAGGATATAAGGACTAACATACTAAAATAAATGTTTTAATGTAAACTCATAATATTGAATGGGTGTTGGCATCCACCTCAACTTTATATGGACCAAAAATACGTTTTATCAACCAGTTTTATTTCGTTTTAGGTCAAAACAACAAGGAAAAATGTTTGTTTTTTGTTGAAAGTATAAGCCATATTTACTGAGGAGTTTTTAGGTGGGATTCTTAATTTTGATTAAGATAAGTTTTTTAGTTTTTAATTAAGAAAAACTAAGAATCGATTTTTAAATAAAAAATAAAATAGCTGATTCCTAACCAAAAATATATATATATAAAAAAACAAAAAAATACCCTGATAAACATGTCTTAATACTCATATATCTTACATTCAGATAAAATAAGACAAATATAAATAAACGTGACTGCAATGATCCATTGACCAATCGAGTAGTCATTAACGAAAGATCATAACTTAACATCACATTGTCTCAATCAGAACTCCAAAGACCATAAGAATTTCGCTAGAGCAGTATAGTGATGAAACACAAAACGGCAAAGAGTTATAGAATGTTACATATATTGATTATTAACACATACTAGGAAATAAAAAGAAATAGAAAGAGACTCCTAAAAGCTCCCCAGGTGAGGGCAAATAGCAGCCTCTGCTCCCTGAATTTCACAGCCTTTATCATCAATGCTCCTCTAACCTCAAACACTCAAAATCCACACATCTCTATACACACACCTCTACATACTCTCTCTCTCTCTCTCTTCGATATTTTTTTTGATCAAATCTCTCTTTTCGATTTATGTGCCATTTTGTATATAAATATATATTCTTGCACAAAATAAGGTTATACGCACCATCACCTTTTGCATCATTGCTCTCTTTGTTCTCCTTTTGGGTGTCTCTTCCAGTAACAAGACTTTAATAAGTCTCTTTTTCAGTTATAACATTTAAACAATGATGCTTGCGGTGGAAGATGTGTTGAGTGAGCTCGCTGGAGAAGACAGAAACGACAGAGGTTTACCACCTGGCTTCCGGTTTCACCCGACGGACGAAGAGCTCATAACTTTCTACTTAGCCTCCAAAGTCTTCCACGGAGGTCTCTGTGGCATTCACATAGCCGAAGTTGATCTCAATCGCTGCGAACCTTGGGAACTTCCAGGTATCTTCATATATATAAAAAAAAATTTGTATGAATTTTAAGATTTATAACATTTTCACAATTACATATATCTTATTTTGTATGAATGTTTAGATGTATACCATTTTTGAGAGTACATCTTTATATTCTTTTTGTATTAATGTTAAGATCTTGTTTATATTATTTTCAAGAGTATATCCCTTTTTGTTTTCTGAATATTTTTAAACGTTTCACGTTTATTCTTTTGTATTCTGAAGAAATGGCCAAGATGGGAGAGAGAGAGTGGTACTTTTACAGTCTAAGGGATAGGAAATATCCGACGGGGCTAAGGACTAATAGAGCCACTACTGCTGGATATTGGAAGGCTACCGGCAAAGATAAGGAGGTCTTTGCTGGCGGAGTAGGAGGAGCACTTGTTGGGATGAAGAAGACCCTTGTGTTCTACAAGGGTAGGGCACCTCGTGGCCTCAAGACTAAGTGGGTCATGCATGAGTATCGCCTCGAAACTGATCTTTCTCACCGCCACACGTGTAAGGTAAATAAGTTACTCTAATCCCACACGTGCTCTTCTAAATGATAACTACCTGACACTAAACGAATTTAATTACGACATTAGTATTTTCATGGTTGACTTTTTGAAGCTAAAACTTTAATAGAAAATTTTAACTGATTTAACATTTTCACCTTTGTTTTCTGTAACTTTACTCCCCACTCGTGCGTCTTTTAAACCTAATATTACAGGATTTAATGTATATATATATATATATATATATATTTTTTAATGTGTATTTCAGCATTGCAATTTACTGAACTTCGTCTAAAGAGTTGACTTTTTAAGACAGTGAGCTGAAAAGAAATGTTTAACCGAACCATTCACTTTTTTCCCATATTCATTTGTTATACTATTTCCTCAAAACTATTTTGTGAATAGTATTGTCATTATTTGGCTAAACTAGTATGGGGTGGACAGGGGAGAGAGCAGTTGTAGATGTGATAGATTTGATGTAAACCTGTACGTGTGGGTGTCAACACCAAACACCTTGCCGTTTCCTGTTCTTCCATGCTACACTGTTGTGTCGTTTTCATCACTATTGCTTTCTTTAATTAGTATCATGTATCATCATCATAAATCAGTTGGTCTGGCTCACATTTCAAACAAGATCTCTATCGATCTTGGTTAGGTGTAATTAATACAAATATGCTACATATTCTAAATAAATTATATATCGAAGCAAAATGTCTAATACTGTAGCATATTATGTTTGAATACAGGAGGAATGGGTGATTTGCAGAGTGTTTAACAAAACAGGAGACAGAAAGAATGTTGGAATCCATAACCAAATAAGCTATCTCCATAACACTTCACTGTCAACAACACATCAACATCAAAACACTAATAACTATTATCATCATCTTGAAACCTTGCCTCCTCTTCTTGAACCATCTAAAACCCTACCCAACTTTCCATCACTACTTTACGATGATACCCACCAAAGTTACAATAATAACCTAGTCCATGCATCATCAGGCCACAACGTCGACCAGTTCAAAGCCCTAATCAACCCAGTCATGTCTCAACTCAACGGAATCATTTTCTCTCCACAGAACAGCAACTACAACAACGAAGAAGACGACAACTTTGGCGTGAAGACCGAGCAATATTCGAGCGGTGGCAATAACGATCTTGATGTACGAGATTACTTAGAGAACCCTCTTTTCCAGGAAGCGGGTTACAGTCTAATGGGTCTTTCGTCTTCTCCTGGACCTCTTATGCTATTAGATTCTCCATATGTCCTTTAGGTTTCCAGCTGTAGAATCCAGGCCTATGGATTATATATTGGACCTTTATATATTTGGTCTTTTATGGTTTCTTATTTTTAAGCCTTTGTGAAATACATTAATATAAATATTATTCCCTGATTTTCAAAAAAAAAATTGAAAGTTATGTGGCTGGTGCAGCCTTGCAGGAAAAGCTATGAGTCTGTTTCTTTTGATGAACTGTATTTGTGGGCGTTTCACTGTTCGATGTGATGTCATAAAAACGAATGATATTTATAACTATTCTGACGTCATGGTTTTATGTCGTTTTCTTTCTATAAGCTATTTCTTTCTTTGTTATGTTTTTCTAATATGTATCATTGTTACGCGTGTCAATATTATGGAACTGTTAGCCACGCACAACCCTAACCATCTTCGATTGGGGTCTTATTAGTTGAGCCAGGAGAGTCTGGTTTGTTCTGGTAGGTGAGCGACTGGTTCAGTTATGGTCTTAAAACTTCATGAACACGCAACAATAAGTTGGTATTATAAGACTTTTCAATGGTGGCTTGAAGTATATCTGAAAGACTTCACAAGTTGGTTTTTATCTGAAATTCTTATGTTTTTCACTAATTTCTATTTCCCTCTCAGAATTGTTTTTTTTTCTTTAGCAAAAAGAGTAAATCCGCTTTGTTAAGATTACTCTAGTTTCGAAATTTGAGGCCCAATAAATATTAACCAAGACCGCTAAGATATATATATATATTTTTTTTGGTGTAACCAAGACCACTAAGATATTGAGCCTTGCTAATATACACACATTTTAACAATCTATAAACAAATATGCAAATTAGTTGAGTTAAAATATGACATAAATTTAACAAGTGTTATTAGATAAATGTCACGGTAAGAAATCCAAAGGATCAAAACATATAATCATGAAAATTAATAATGCATTTATCAATGTAGTCTTATTCAGGTGTGAAATTTAATGCACGAAAGAGAAATACCTGGATTTGAACATTACCTTAATGCGTCAAAAATGTAAAAGTTCTTAATTTAACCTGCACACACACACATTTATCTTATATATTAAAATAGAAGTCATGACTTGATTTCATGTGTGATTTTTTTAAAAATGGACTATTACTAGAAAGTCATGTTATATTAACTCTCTAATAATCTTATCATTATTATATCTTATGAAAAATCATATCCATAATAACAAAGATATGCTTAACAATTTAGTTTTGGTAAATTACCCCACACCTTCCAACTTAGTCACGCAAAATATGTCAATAGATATAAGTTTAGGAATCTTCTATTATTTGTAAGGAAATATGTTAATAATAGTTAAATGCATCCACAATATATTAACAAAAATCACAGATTCGTAATATGGAATATTTATATACCCTAACAAAATTTACACGCTATATATACTAGATAAATTTATTTTGATGTAAATTTTTAATTGTTTTAAAAAATAAATTGTTTAAAAAATTCCTTTCTAATAAAATTCTTTATAATATTAATTTATGAAGGTATAAGTTTAGTTTTTAGCAAGAATTTCTTCGAAGTTTATATTATCTTTGCAAATTAAAGTATACTAATATTTAATCAAGCTCTATTTATATTACTTTATTTAACAGAAGTCATGACTTGACTTCATGTGTGATTTTTTTAAAAAATGGACTATTATTAGAAAATCATGTTACATTAACTCTCTAATAATCTTATCATTATTATATCTTATGAAAAATCATATCTATAATAACAAAGATACCCCTAATAATTTGGTTTTGGTAAATTACCCCACACCTTCCAACTTAGTCACACAAAATATGTCAATAGATATAAGTTTAGGAATCTTTTATTATTTATAAGGAAATATGTCAATANCCCACACCTTCCAACTTAGTCACACAAAATATGTCAATAGATATAAGTTTAGGAATCTTTTATTATTTATAAGGAAATATGTCAATAATAGTTAAATGCATCTACAATATATTAACAAAAATCACAGATTTGTAATATGGAATATTTATATACCCTAACAAAATTTACACGCTATATATACTAGATAAATTTATTTCGAGGTAAATTTTTAAAATTATAGTTTTTTAAAAAAAGTAAATTGTTTAAAAATTATTTTTAAAAAATTATTTATAATATTAATTTATGAAGTTATAAGTTTAGTTTTTGCCAAAAATTTATTCGAAGTTTATATTATTTTTGCAAATTAAAGTATACTAATATTTAATCAAACTCTATTTATATTACTTTATCTAAAAATAAAATCCAATCTAACAAACAATAAAATATAGAAAAAGAAACAAACACATGTTTAAAAAATATGTATAATATAAAAAATTTGAAACAATCTATTTGATTAAAACACATATTATATAATATTATTATGTTTGAAAAATATTTACTATACATAGCGTAAATATGTGATTACTATTATATATACCAATTTGCAAATGAAAACAAAATGTTTATATAACTAACTATAAACGAAAACAAACACCCGCGCGGTTGCGCGGGTCAAAATCTAGTATATATATATTATTTTTTCACATTTATATATTATATACTCAACTGATAATGATTTTTTTTTGTCAACCTCGACTGTTAATGATTCTGTTTAACTATACCACCACTAGCTAAGAACCAACCAGTGAATCTCCGGCAAGATATGGAATATCAGTTTCATCATTTTTCGCTGAGAAATTATACTTTTTAGTTTTTACTTTAACAACCAAAAAAGCAGCTCTTCACTTCTACTTCTACTATTTCTCTGACTCTGCGATTCAGAAGAAATAAATATTCACAAGTAGTATAGCTATCATTTAGTAATATTATTTGAGAGCTAGGCAAAATAATACTATATATCATCTATAACAGATCACGCACATGCATGCACGTACAATAATACAATGTACAATATACAAACGGATACTTGAATTTGGATATTAAATACCACATTGCGATTTTTAAAATATGATTATTCGACATTCGTCAGTTCCGAGTAGTATATGTATGGATTGATAAATGTCAGTTACAAAAGGTAAAGTACTAATTTTTTTTTTGTCAAGGATAAAGTATTATCTATAGTATGAAAATTCAATAAACTCATTGTGTAGAAAATAATGAAATTCCATAAGATTGAATAATATTAATTATTTTCAATAGGTAGTTAGAAGTGACGTAGTGGTAATAGCTCGTTTTCCGCTCGAAAATTTAGAAGACTTAACTACCAGTTCGAGCTATACCATCAAAGCTATTGTTAAGAGATATATAGAGTTGATGGATATTTGCTATTTAGGTTACTTTTATTACAAAATTTCTAACACATTATAAGTTATACGATTAAATAAGGTTATCACTTAGCACATGGACTCACAGCACTTTCCATAGTGGAAAAACTCGTGATGAATGATGATAGCTTGCGAGGGTGTCCCCATCATTATTCGTACGTGACTTATTTGATGGCTACACGTAGAAAGATAAATAATCCATATAATAGGTTATTTTTTCATATGTATGATTATCTACTCTTGACTAATTATTATCAAATTACTTTCTCATAGTCTTAATTCGCACTTTAGTTGTACTCTAGGATCTTGGCGATCTTTTGTTAGGTTTATGGTCAATGCCAAAATAAGACCATCTTCATGGTCATTTTCGAAGTCCTAATGCTAATAATTTAAAATCGCGTTTGATAGTTTGGTCTTCAGTGGGATACAGGGCCGTGTTCCAAATATTCATAAAATACTAGAATGAATAAATCAATTAATATAAACCCCGAGAATTAGTTTGCTGCTTTATTAATGGAAAAGGGAAAAGAGAAAACTCAGACAATAGACATCACACCATATGTTTCACGGACAATGGTCCATCTGTCTACTTTCCCATACGTATTATCGAATATTCCATAAGTTAATCGAATTTGTAGCAACGAACAACCGACATTCAATTAGATTAATCATGTCCCATATCCCATTGATGCTTCATACATGAACTTGCACATAAACCATGAATAGTATATGTCAATGATTTCTTAATGAACTTATACACAAAACTGGCATTTTCTATCAAATAAATCAAAATTTTCTGCGAGGGAATGTTGAATTATAGACTATGATATCAAAGAAGTGCATGGATTTCAATTATGACTAGTTATTTAGTTATATACTACTTACTTATCTATGATATTAAGTAAGCTCTTAATTCGTTTGGCACGAAAGGAACCATCTAAACAATAGAAAATCGGTACACATTAATAAACATTCACGTTACCATCGCATATTCCCGTTAATAAACACATTCAAGCATATCTGGTTGTTTGGTTTGGTACCAAATTGTAAAGTTCTGGTAGATGATTTGGATTGTAGTTACGTGTGAATTGTATGGTCCAACGTCCAAGTTTCAAGTTCTTGCAACTGTTTCATGGTCTCTACTTTCTAGTTAGTTCACAAATCATAAACAATTTATTGATAAAAATTATTTCCTTGTTTTTTGAAAAAAGGCCTTCAAAAAAATTAATTACTTTGAATATAGAAAATGGAAAAGTATTCAATAACATTAACTTTTCCATCAGGTAATAATACACTTACAATAAACAAATATTTACATATGACAGATTACCATTATCCTCTAAAATGATAAGGAAAACTTTTCAATCACATATTATTGTAATGCATAAATAGAAAAAGTCTAAAAAAGGAAAGAATCAAGACAAGAAGCTATCAGGTTCATCTTCACGTTGCTTGACCCGGGTATCAGATTCGGATCCTGAGCTCGAACTACCGGGTACACCGCCACATTTGTGACATCTGGCAACCACCAAAATCTGACGGCAAGAAGGACAAGAAGAGTGAGAGCCAAGCCACGTGTCTATACACGTTACATGGAAACCGTGACCACACTGCGGCAACACTCTAAGCTCTTCTCCGGCGGTAAACTCCGTCAGACAGATCGCACACTCGGCTAGCTTAGACTCCGGCGAGTAAGTGAGCTTCGGCAGTGATCGGAGAACTTTCTTTTTCAAGCCTTTGTTGGCGGCAGCTACCGGCGGTTGATGATTCTGATCGGAGTTAGCGGCGGCGATACGTCGGAGCCAGGAGCATCGAGAGACGGCGACTAAGCCGAGGACGCAGATCAGTGCACAGAGGAGAGCTGCTATGATGACGATGAGATCGGAGTTTAACGTCGGAGAAACTTCCACCGGTGACGGAGGAGTGGCTTCTTGAAGGAGACGGAAGAGAAGACGCGCCATAGTGAGAGAGAGAGAGAGAAGAAGAGAGGTTTGGTTTGAAAAAGTTGAGAGGGATTAGGTTTTGAGGAGTGTGAGCGTTTCTTTTGGGAGGCAAAGAGTAAAGAGTATTTATAGTGAACGAGAGATCAAGTCTTGCTTTATAATAATAATAATCACTTTCGGTTATACTAACTTATAAGATTATTTTCTTCTAGTCAAAGTTTAAATTGTTGCTTCTAGTCAAAAGACTTATCAAACTCTATGATTTTTTATTCTTTCATGTGTCTTGTTTTTTCTTTAATGTTTTGCATATCAAACGGTCTCAAGTTTAAGTAAACAGAAACATATAATGTATGTAAATAATATATACTATTTTCTCTGTACATAAGTATAATTAATAGTATTTACATATTGTTTGGGAACTATTTATTGGAATTTTTGTCTAAAATCAAACGTTTAGAGTCTATTAGATTATACATAAACATACAAGTCTAAAATATTAAAAACTGACTGAATGGTATGATAATAATTTTAGTGGATTGAAAAACATTTTTAGTTTGGTGTCCAAAATAATTATATGAGATAGTGGTGCGTGTGGGGGCAGTACACACACATGATGGAAATGGCAGAAGCGTGTGTGTGCGAAAATGCAATGCCTTGGACCAATGAGCACCAAAATCACGAGATAGATTGATAAGGTGTGTATGACTTATCATAATATTCTTTCTTCTAAGCAAACAATTTATCATCAATTTTTTTTTAGATTGTTCTATATGGAGTATGGACTTGAGATTGGAGAAACAACGTTTTAAGACATTATTGTATTGGTACATTATGATTATAACTCTTTTAGATCAAAATACATTTTTTTATTAAAACACAAAGTGAATATAAAGAGAGGCTGAGTTCAATTACTATTTTGTTGTATTGTTGCTGCTGCAAGAGCCTACATGTGGGAAGTTAGAAAAAAATTAGAAAATCAGAGTATTAACCAAGAAAGATCATTGGTAAGGAAGACAACGTACGCACAACAATTCCACTGATGTAGATCCTACAATCTTCTCTCATAGATTGTAGTAGTTCTTAACTAGTGTAGTAATAATATCTCAATTAATTTATATTTTTATTATTGGGTTAAATATTTAGTCGAGCATCTTACGTAATTGCCTCAATACTGATGACACATATGTTACGAATAACTTAATGACGTTTGACCTAGTGGATAAATATGATTTTCTACGTACAATTATGACCTTTGAAATCACGAAAAGAACATTTTGTTTTTAATTAGTGGCTGCTAGACAACTTTTTGTTTTTGTTTTTGAGAAAGGGTTTGCTGCTAGACAACTTGGTAACCACAAACTAGATCGTCTTATAATTATAAACTGTAGTAACAACTTTTAAAAAGATGTTACGTTGTAGATTGGCAAATTCCCTGATGTACATCTTATGAAGTCGTTATACTCATATACTGACATGTACACTACAAGAAAGAAGATGGATAGCATCACTTATAATGTGTCAGAAAAATAGCTGACTCTAATTTGAATCATTTACTTAAAACTGATATTAAATATGTGATTTTACATCAACAAAAATAACTGATATTAAAAGTAACTTGATTAACATCACTTGAATTAAAGATGACACAAGTCAATATTAATTTACATCACTTTTCAATAATCAACGCAAATACAAGAACTTGCATCAATTACACAACTGAAATATTTGCTTAATTTGATTAGCATCAATTTAACTTAACGATATAAAAGTAGTATCAGTTATAAATGACGTAATATTTCTTTCAGTTATACAAGTAAAGCAAATTTGTATTTTTTTTATTAATTGTGAGATGGCTTGCAAATTGCAACTTGTCTTTTCTCCTCGAGAACTCTTTTTTTTTTGTCAAATTGCCTAAATGGAACATAGTACTTTTTAGGAGTAAGTAAGTGTTTGTATATATATTTTTTTCCTACAAAATAATTTTGACTTAGGGTTCTTACAGAATTGGAGAAAACTGATCAGCCGGAGACTTGAGGGAGACTACGTACGGCCGACGTTCATAAATTTGCAAATTACTAGAAACAAGGTAACGAAAATAAACTCTTTCGTCTTGCTTTACTGCTTCTTTATGCTATAACTGATAATTATATGATTCTGAAACTGATCACAGATTCATAATCTTTGCACTGTGGCTTTGAAAACTGATTATATCGATGTAGCCAATTGTCTTATAATTTTTGTAAGGTTTAGATGCAGCTTGATAGATTTAGATATAAATTAACTAGTCTTTTATTATTTTTTAGCACTAGCTTGATAGATAGCTGATCATTTATAAGTTTAAATCTTGTTTCGTTAGCTAGTACGATTTCCAATTGCAACTTTATTATGTATTCTATTGGTTTTTTTTTTGATATTTCCTTCAAACAATACAAGTAATGATTTTATCTTGTCTCATATCGTTTAAGTCCCTGTGTAAAGTGTTTCATTTTTGGTACCCTGTGAGTTTTTCTTAAATGAAAATATGAAGTACTACTAGCTTTTTTATAGGTAACTATGGACAAATCATGGATAAACGAATCTCGGTTATCCATCAACTATAGATTAGGAGTGAAGAATTTTCTGGATTTTTCCTTTGGTAAATCAATGGCAGAAATGATGAAATGTCCGTGCACTCGTTGCTCTCTAGCTAAATCCAAGTCGAAGGAAGACATTGAAGGAGATTTGATGTGTTATGGCTTTCTAAACTCTTACACATGTTGGGTATTGCATGGAGAGGAGGCTGACGTAATAGAAAATACAGTAGAAACACCTTCTCCTATAAACGTTGCCCATGCTGATTTTACTTCAACTGCTAATTTGTTGGACGATCTATTTCCTAATGTCAACGTGAATGCATACGAAAGTTCTGGTTTTCCTGAGCAATCTACAAACATGGATGGAGCAGCACCTTCAAGTGAGAACAATGAAAAAGGAGAAAGTTTCGATGACTTGCTTGCTGATTTTAATCAAGAGCTATATGAAGGATGTACTAGTTTCACTAAGTTATCCTTCATATTGAAGCTTTATCATATCAAATGCATGTGTGTGATCAGCGATAAGGGAATATCTTTGATTATTGATTTGCTTAAAGAAGCATTTGTACACGCAAAACTGCCAGACTCATTCAGTGAAATGAAAAAGGTTATTCGGAAGTTAGGTCTGACATCTGAGTCAATTCACGCCTGCCCAAATAACTGCATGCTATATTGGGAAGAAAATGCAAATAGGGAAAATTGCATAGTCTGTGAGTCATCTAGATGGAAGACAAATCCTTCTTCAAGCACTGAGCTAACTGAGTCAAGGAAGAAAAAGAAACAACTACCTGCAAAGGTTTTGCGTTACTTTCCTCTGAAGCCACGCTTGCAACGCTTGTTTATGTCATCAAAAACTGCTTCTCATATGACATGGCATGCAAGTGGTACTAACATTGATGGTAAGATGAGACATCCTAGAGATGGAGAGGCTTGGAAAGCATTTGATCTGCAACACCCTGAATTTGCATCTGAGTCACGAAATGTACGACTTGGGTTAGCTTCAGATGGATTTAATCCATTTGGAACAATGAGCACAAACTATAGTATTTGGCCAGTGGTTTTATTTCCATATAATTTCCCGCCATGGATGTCAATGAAACACACATCAATGATTCTCTCTATGATTATTCCTGGAAAGCAAATGCCTGGTAATGATATTGACGTATATTTGCAGCCTCTTATCAAAGAGCTTAAAGAATTGTGGTTTGATGGGATCAAGACTCTGGATGCTTCCACAAATCAGATGTTTGATATGAGAGCAGCCATTATGTGGACTGTTAGTGACTTTCCAGGTCTTGGGAATTTGTCTGGTTGGAATACATATACCGGATTAGCATGTCCGAGTTGCAATTATGATGCCATTGGATTACGTTTACGTCATGGGAAAAAGAATTGCTTTATGGGCCACCGTCGTTTTCTTCCACCAGATCATAACTTTCGTCAAAACAAGGCTAAATTTGATGGAACAATAGAGACTAGAACCCCACCAGTCACACCATCAGGTTCTACGATTCTGCAGCAGCTTGAAACAGTGAATGTTACACTAGGTAAGGGAGCTGGTCTAGCTGGGAGAAAGAGAGGTAGAAGTGATAACGATGATCAACAATGGAGAAAAAAAAGTATATTTTTTGAGTTACCTTATTGGAAGTTTGTTTTGATACGACACAACTTGGATGTCATGCACATCGAGAAGAATGTGTTTGACAATGTAATCAACACAATTCTGGATGATAAAGTTAAGTCGAAAGATAATCTGAATGCTAGAAAAGATCTTAGAGAGCTTGGTATTCGTCATGAGTTATGGCCTGATGATAATGACAAGTACAAAGCAGCAAGTTTTACTCTAAACAACGCTGAGAAAGATATTTTTCTGAGTGTACTGAAAAATGTGAAGTTTCCGGATGGTTATGCTTCTAACATCTCTTCATGTGTTGATGTTAATAACAGAAAGTTATTAGGCTTAAAAAGTCATGATGGTCACGTGATAATGAGAGATTTGTTGCCGATTGCAATCCAGAACTTACTGCCACAAGAAGTGACATCTACCATTGTTGATTTATGCCACTTTTTTCGTGACATCTCTGCCAAAGTTCTTGCTATTGATGATCTTGACAAATTACAACAGCGTGTCGTGTTGACTTTATGTAATATGGAGATGTTATTCCCTCCATCTTTTTTCACGGTTTTTATTTTTACAGGGAAGAAAGAATGAAGATGATGAAAACTAGAATGGGAACACTGAGAACGGCAATGATAGTTGATTTATTAGTATTCTTAGCATAATATTCTGTTTTTCTTTGAACTAGGATTTCACTTACGATATTTTTCATATTTGAGTTGTATTTGCAATGGATTATGTGTGTTTTATAATACAAATATTGCAATTGAATTGTTAGTATAATGATTACAACTGATTCATTTATTTTAATTTATTTTTTAAACAATAATTTAATTCATTTTCAAAAGTACTGCTGCGTAGTAATAGCTAGCCCTGGGCAAAAAAACAAGAACCGAAAAACCGAACCGGAACCGAACCGAAATACCTGAAACCGAAAACAGATTGAAATTCTTAAATATCTAAATGGTTCCTATATTTTTATACCCAAAAAATGAACCAGAACCGGAACCGAACCGAGAACCGAACGGGTTCTCGAATATCCGAAAAAAATAATTTACAACTGATTCATTTATTTAATTTATTTTTTAAACAATAATTTAATTCATTTTCAAGAGTATTGCTGCGTCTGGGCAAAAAAACAAGAACCGATAAACCGAACCGGAACCGAACTGAAATACCTGAAACCGAAACCAGACCGAAATTCTTAAATATCTAAATGGTTCCTAGATTATATGTATATATATATATTTTTTATAAATATATATATTATTTTGATATTAAAATACAAAAAATATTAACTAATATAATATGTATGCGTGTAAATATTAGATCATTTAAATTAACATATTAACTAATATATTATGTATATATATATATATGATTTATATATTAAGCGGGTACCCGGAACCGAACCAAAACCGAACTGGAACTGAACCGAAACCAAATCGAAATCTCATAAGTACCTATTGGGTATAAAAATGATTTATCCAATATACCCAGAACCGAATGGTTTTTATCCGGAACCGAACCGAATATCCGAATACCCAGACCTAGTTATAGCATCATTCATGAAAATATATTTAAAAAGTTAAACTCTATTACCCGGGATTACCTTTTGGTCAAATTACGTAGGCGGGAGGATATACTACTTTTTAGGCATAAGATTTTTTCTATATATAATTTGTTACCATAAAAATGATTTGGAGTTAGGGTTTTTATAAGTTTGAGGAAAAGTCAAAAAAAGAGGCGCATACTCAAAAGAAACACAGACGCTCGTACATCTAAAACTGACTGGAAATAAGGTAACGATGATTAAACTCTTTATTATTGTTCTACTTTTTCATTTGCTAGATTAGAGATTTATAATCTTTGTACCATGACTAATGAACTGATTATACCAATGTAACCATTATTTTGAGTTCTTACGATTACACACATGAAATTCTTCTGATTATGTTTCCTGTCTTTTATTTATTTTAAATCAAGACATTTTTTTTATTACCATTTTTCATTTTAAGGAGACTGATGGAGAGATTGATGGAGTTCTCTGAATCTGAGACACAAGCTCCTGATGATTTAACTGATTTGGAGGCGGCTTATAACTCTCCTCCTCCACTTGCTCAAGAGTGCAAAAGTTACAAATGGAAAATTCAGTTGATAGGTAACTTTACTCCTCCATTGTTCCATATATGCTACTCTAATACAAAACTTAATTAAATTTTATGTTTATGCTAAATATTTTATCAAATAGATGCTCATAGGAACATTGAAGACCAAATGCTGACAACCAAAGATGTTTGGAAGCTACAAAACCGCAAAGTTGTTGTTCACTTCGATGAAGATAGCGGTCAACCTGATGAAGATTCTGGAGGTCTACTTGGATCATGGTTAGGTCAACTGAGTACAGATGTAAACCTATTACCAATTAACTACAGTGACTGGAGAACCTTTCTCCCTCATAGAAAGGATAGAGCATGGGAAATAATCCAGGTAACACCTAAGTTATATATTTTCACAAATATTAGTGATTTTTATTGTCAACTTGTTTCTTGTCATATGTCTGAAACAATATTACTTTAATCTATGTAGGCAAAGTTTTGGTTTGATAATCCAGATACAAGACAAGGTTATGTGATGGGAGTCCTAGGAAACAGATGCAAAGATTTTAAATTACGTCTTTGGAGGGACTACAAGCGAAACACTCGAACTGAATCGTTAGCCAATCGTCCCCCTAATGTACCTGAAGATCAATGGCATGATATGGTTTTCATGAGATTCACTGATAAGTGGAAGGTATAGTTTTATACACTGATTATATATTTGTATTATTTCATAAATAATAATTTTGAGTTTGCAGACAATGCAAGAACGAAATACTGTAAGCCGACGCAAACATACCATGCCTCATCTATGTGGACGGAGGAGTTTTGCTAGGAGACGACGTCAAATTGTAAGTTATTAGTCTTTAAGTATGTCAAGTTACGTTACTATATGTAGTGTAATATGTAAATACTGATTTTTTATTCATTTATTATGCATATGTTGATAATGAAGAAAAACGAAACTGGAAAAACACCATGTCGGGCGGATTTTTTCATCATGACTCGCAAAAAATCTGATGGAAATTTTGTTTCTGATGAAGCTAAAAAGCATGCGGTTAGTTTCTATCATAAATACTTTGCCTTTATTGTGTCCAATATCGATCTTGTTAATAAGTTCATATTGTAACTTAGGAGTGAACTGATTATTATCTTTATGTTATTTTTTCAGGATGAACTTACAATTTTACTGACTCAAAATTCATCAACGCAAGTCTCACACAACGTCACAGCTTGTTTGGATGATGAATATTCTCGAGTGTTTGGTCCGGAACGTTCAGGGAGAGTACGTTGTGTTGGTCGAGGACCTACACCTTCAAAATTAGCCAAACAATGCACTGCAGCACGATCTGAGGCTAATAATGCTGAAGTTGTTCAAATGAAGACGAAGATGACATCATTGGAAAATCAAGTTGAAAGTTTGACTGGAATTATTCAACAACTTCTGAATACAAGAAGCAACGATCCGGTAATTTTATAATTACTTGTTATTTTTATATAACGTGACTTTAATATATTAAGGTTGATCACTAATATTTTTTAAGAAAATCTAAGCAACGTCATCATGGACAACGTATGCTAACTTGCTCAATCCCTTAACTCAGGTAAATATAAAAAACCTTTAAATTTAATAAAATGTCATGATGGTCACGTAATTCATTGCATTTTATACTTTACAGGGAACAAGAAATGAAGATATGAACCACAACGAAAACAGTGAGAACTCTCACGGCGACAATGGCTGATTCATCAATTATTTTTCTATCTTAGTATTTTTTTTTCTTTTTATTAGTACTTCAGTTTACTTTATGTTTCGACTTCCAGGATTTATTTACTTTTGCATATTTGAAATATGTTACAATGGATTAAGTATTTTTATAATATAATATTGCAATTCATATTATTTATTAATTTTAATTGATTATTTTTTCTATATTAGCTATAATTTGGTATAAAAATATATAATCAAAACAATACATTTAGTGTCAGTTGTAAAAAAGACATACATATTCATCACTTAAATAAATGATATTAAACTACTATCAATAGTTTACAAATGATATAATTGTTACAATCATCTATAAAACCGATAGTAAATTTGGATCACGTATTTGTAACTGATATAAATATTACATCAATTAAAATAGTTGACATTAATATTTAATATCAATTATTGCAACTGAAACAAATATTAATATCATTTACCCAAAAATGATACAACTTTTAGCATCGTCTATCCTAAATGATACTTATTAACATCAGTTACAATAAATGACGAAACTAATTGCATCATTCGTTACAACTGTTATATTGTATTAGAGTCATCAATTTCAGAGTCATTTATAAAGTTGATGTAAATTCATTCGTGTCAATCAAAAAATGATATTAACACAATAAATAAATGATGCACTACAACGTGTTTCTTGTAGTGGTATATGAAAACTTCTGATATCGTGTGTCTAAAGAATATTCAAAGTTTCTTGTATTTAAACAGCCTAATGATTTTTTTATACACAAATATTTAAAACTGAGTAATTAATTTTCAAAATATCCCACTTAACAAGTTTTCGGTAAGTTACGAATAACGTAGTGCCTTTTTATTTTATTTTTCTATGTTGGTTCAAGACTAGCAGCCAATCAAGCTAACATGGCATCTGGAATTGGGATAAAGACTAGTTCACTAATGAAAACTTTTTAATGGTTAGATAAGATCAAATCCTAAATCTTATTCCTCCATAATAATTATGAACCTTTTCCTATTTCTGATAAAAAATAATCTTCGGTGTATAATCTGTGTATAGACAAATAATTAAAGTGTTGAAAACAAAAGATACAATTATTTAAATTGACCGTTGAATTGCGAATCACAACCACATCAAAAAAACAATATATTTACATATATACTATCCAAACTCTATGTCAGATCGGTTCGAAAATCGAATTCAGGATCTTGAAAACTCTTCTCTATAGGATAATCATCAACAATACTTAACGAAATTACAATTTACTTAAAATTATCTAATCTACTGTTATGCCGCTTATTGTGCATTGTTACTAAAGAGATGCTCATGTATATGAATGTTTATCAATTTGTGTAAACGTGTTAGTTTAGCTCAAGCATTTTCTGAGCAGAAAAGATAATAAGTTGGCAGGCAAGTCTGCGCCCTCGATACATGTTTCACTAATCGACAGAAAATAAGTGAATTTGTAAAGGTGGTCGTATATAGAAGCGCCTGACATTTAGATTTTGTAATACAGATAATATCAACTAGGATATTATACTGATATGATATATATCACATGTATAGACGATAAGCATGTTTCTAACCTATCTTTTAATGAAAGTATTCATATGCCAAAACTTATAAATTCTCCTGCCTAAAGTAAATACTAAAACCAGTTATAAAATATACGTGGAGAACAGTCACCTAACCGGCCTAATCTGTAACGAAAGCAATGAAACTTCTTGTGGAAGTTTTTTTCTTCATGGTCACCACCATATAAATTATAGTTTGCAGGAAAGATGATAATAACAACTAACTGAAAAACATGCGTCAAAAGACTCAAAAAGATTTGGTGAAGAGCGACGCTTGTCTATTTCTTATTCACAAACTCTTTTTTTTCTCTCTTTACTCCTCACTCGATTTATATAGATACTACTACATTCCACAATGATTTTTCTTTATTCTCAACTATGATAAACTAGTTTTTTTAAAGCTGGTATATGGGAGATGGAATATGTACGCCATACCTGAAAACGAAATAGTGTATGGTAAGAAGAGAAGGAGCAAGCGTGTGAAATTCTAAGTTTCCAAATAGAGTTAGATGACAAAAATGAAATTATAAAAAGACCATTATTAGTTTTCTTGACTCTTTCTCTTCTAGTGCACTCCCCACTTTCCGATTCTCCACCGCCCATGTTTTGCTTCCTGTCACATGCTCCGCCTTTTATCTATTTTTATCGGAATATTATTATTAGTATAAATTTACCTATAAAAAATCCTGGAATTACATAAAACTCGTTACATATATGTTGTTTCAAAACACGTTTTTAAGTGTTAAAGTTCATCACTATAAACATGCAGCTAAAAGTATCTAAAACCTAGTTAAATTCCCAAATTAAGAATCATTTAAAAATATACTTTTCATCCATTTGTAATAATATTGTAAATACATTCAATTTGTAAGATATTATATCATGATTCTAAACTAGCTCTAATTTTGTGAAAGCCTGTTTTTTTATAGCAAGTAAATTTTTTACTTAAAGCATGGATGAATTTGAATTGGTATTAGACTTTTCAAATGGTAGATTTTAGAAAATATTAAACTAATCATGTGATTATATAAACTGTATGTACCAGTTCAATAATATCAATTGATTCGTTATAACTCAGTCTCTGTGTACCGTGTAAGTTTGGATTAATATTTCACATGTGAACATCTAAAGCCTATTCTGCTTTTTCTTTTGTTTTATACAAACCTTTTCTGGGACCTTGTATTATATATTTAAACATTTGATTATGCGAAAGTGTTTGTTATTATATAAAAGGAAATTTGGAACGGAACTAAACTAATGGTTTTAAGAAAATGCATCGAATGTGAGCAAAAGAACTTCAGTTTCAGCCATGAGATATACTTCATTAGTGGCTTGCTTATATACTGCGTAAACAACTTTTCCACATTATCATCTAAAAGCCGACATGGAACTCTTTCAATTAAAGAAGTGGCTTTCGTTGTGATTAGACTTTCACCTAACATAACTCGAATGAACTATAAATGATTCCATCAAATTTCTTATATATATTGAATATAAAATGTCAATAATGCATTCCTTTCTTTTCAAGATTTTCACCTAAGAAAATCAAACTTAGAAGAATACAAGTCAGCAATAAAAGTTAAAAATGATACATCGTAGAACAAAATGATAATCTAAACCAATTAGTTAACTGTCGGGGTAGCAGATTGAATACCATTTATTATCATATAGTTTTAATATATACTAGATCGTTTGCAATATGCTAAAACGGCTCATCACCTGACAACATTTACATACAAAAATGATGTGTAAAGACAAAAGATGAATCCCATACATGAAAAAGAAGATAATTGCAATTACTTTCTAAAATAACTTTACAGGTTGGGGAGTTAAAAGTATGTAACAAAGATTATGGATAAAACTTGTCACATCTAGTATTTAAATACGGCCGCCGCTTGATGTAAACACTATTGAGATATAGTTAAGTATGCATAGAGATCACGTGGATTACTACTAGTTAAAGCTACTAACATATCTAACGATGAAATCGGTGACTCGTCCATGTCTTTTTCTTTTACTGTTTGAAAACGATATTTGATCCTCTTTTTCTTCTTTTTGAGTGATGACGATCAGTAAGTAAATCTTGAGCGTACCCCATCTTTGGATTCTCAAGGACCAACACTTTTGTGTTAACTCATGTGTTTGGCATTGATGTTTGTTGTTCTCCGCTGCACCACCTTCTTAATAAAAACCAACCAAACCACAACACAAACCAGTTCAAAAAACGGCTGGTTCTATGGTATTCCCGGTTTGGAATTGATTAATTAAATCATGACAATTTATTAATTTGATTTGGTTCGACTATTGTCTATAGAGCATGTGTTTTTTCAATGTTCCAAAAATTGCTAGAGGATTGATTAATCATAGGTCAATTTTTTGAACGTTTAGACCAATTTTTTTTAAAAAAATATTTTCAAACCTGATTTGCCTATTAAGCCGTCTAAACCAATTTTAAAACACTGGTTTTATTGGTTATTAGAAACACTAGGATAAGACCTGCGCCTTGCGCATGGTGAATATATGTAATTAAAATATAAAATTTTAATATTCACAAATTTAAAATTTACATATGATTGTTTTTGTATGTATTTGAAATTTTAGAATTTTGGAATTTTTATATAATTATCTATACGTATGATCAAAAACAACTTTAATTAGAAATGTAAATCAAATCTTAGAATT